CTCATTTTGTATTGATCAGATGGCAATACGTTGCGACAACGATGTCACATGGCTTCAAAAAGAAACCTAATTAGAAAGACATGTTGATATTTACATGGTGAATCTGAACCAAACCTGGCAGGAACAATGTATGGATGGTATATTTTCAAACGTATTCATTTATTCCGATCGAAAAAAAATAGTTTAAAAGAGGGGATATTGAAAAAAAAACAATATTAACTAAAGTATTATTTTGTTTGCATATGGAACATCATTTGATACTTATTCAACTTTCCATTAGTTTTCTTTTTATAATGATTACATGACTTAAGGATGTATGCTCCTCTTGTTTTTTTAGTTTTTGTCAGATATTCGGAATCCTCTGGTTTTATCCATGTAGTGGCATTAAAACATTTTCCCAGCTAACCCTAACTTTTGTTTTCATAATTGTATTACATATAGTTCAAAAAGCCATATTTGAAAATGCTATAAAAACCTTGTTATTTTTTCATAATTTTTGAAAGAAAAAGAGTGCCAATGTTAAATGTCTGAAAAGTGTAGAGAGAATTATTACCCGCCAAATTTTCAATGGCTTATATCTCGAAAACAAGCACACGAATCCTTCATTTTTTTCTGCTTTTTTTATTCCTTTATTTATATACTATCAATTTATAACAGTATTTTAAAAGCGTGTTTTTTTAAAACAGAGTAGCGAAAATCCTTAAACTCAATCATTTGACAGGTTTTCCATCAGATCCTCAGTCCTACACAAATCCGGAAATGCCTTCTTCCTCACTTAGACGGACTTCGACAATCACATCAGCAATACAAACAGTAGATGAAACAGTAAAAACAACAGAGGAGATAACCATGGAAACTATAGATGGATCGCCGACAATGCAAACAGATGAAACAACAAGGATACTCTCAGAAGAAATACCTTTTCATACACCAGAAGAATTAACAATGAAAATGACAGACGAAATATCAATTTCAACGACAGAAAAAGTAACGACACTGAAAATAATAGAAACGGGTATGTCAACAACTGAAATTACACCATCAAACATAACAGCACTATGAATTATAGCTATTAAATAAAAACAACTCTTTATATATCACATGCGTCTGATGCACTTTTCTGGATTAGAATTCCTCAAAAATGCTAAAACACATTTTTTTTTAAATCAGTGTTTATGTATATACTTTTGAAAACATTAATTTAATGTGTACTTGAATTTCTAATTGAATTTCGTGCCCCGCACATGGCACGTGCGTTTGACTCCAATATTAATTGACTACGATTTTTAGTTTTTCCCAACGAAGGTCGGTGGTTCTCTTCGGGCACTCCGACTTCCTCCACGAATAAAAATGACAGCTACAAAATAGCCAACAGTGCTGAAATGGGGGTAAAACACAAATCAATCAATCAATCAACAATCTTTAATTTCTATATAATAATAATATGCACTTTTTTAATAACATAAGACTGTGGATACGCTTAAGGAAATTATTTTTATTCTTCTGTTATCGATTTTTCTTTGTTCTTTGTACTACTTAACGTGATGGAAAGGAAAAACCTCGTGGTATACATACCTAACAGGGGGTAAACATCGGAAGGTACCAAACCAAGCTGTTTCAAATGTTAAATCAAAATGTCAAAAATCCATGACAACATAATCATGATAATATAAAAATTCATGTAAAACAAAAATATATCAGGTGCGTCGGAACGGTAAGCATTACCTGCTCCCTAAGTAGCACCCACAGTATTGTCGTACATACAATGCTATAGGATATATAGAGAAACCATATAATTTTCTTTTCAAAATATGGGTTTATATTTTTTCCAGATCATACTGATGGTGTGCTTTGTAGTTCAAACTGTTGTACCCGTTTACCTAACCCCTTCAATAACTCATTTATTGGAGAAATGGTACTGGATAATATTAGAGTCAACAAAACACATCTAAGCTCCTATAAGAGAAAACGCATATCAGTCAAGGACATTAGACTTTCGTCTGCTGTGATTGGTTACTGTGCTACAGTAATATTGATTGCTATTTGTTTGATAATAATTATTCCAGATCTATTTCGAATGGTCAAATGTGACAAGATTTGCAAAGAACATAAACAACAGCAGACTAGCATAAAATAAATTGCTTGTCGAAAATGGAATATTCACAATAACATTATGCGTGACTTTCAAGATTTAAGGAAGGACAGCAAAGTTGGAAGTTTGTCTTTGTTATTATGCATTAGAGTACTTAAAACTGCAAGAAAGAATGGATAAATAATAGATGAAGCTATATATAAAACCATCATAATGTACTATAATTATATATTGGACAGGTCACAAAAGACATGTTGTTTTTATGAAATAAATTAGTGTGTGAATAGATACAATGGAAGTCTGTTTGACTGTTATATAAATGAGAGGTTTAGCTAGCTATATAATTAGGTTTAGTCCACCATTTTCTACATAAAGAAATCCCTGTACCAAGTCAGGAATATGACAGTTGTTTTCCATTTGTTTGATATGTTTGCTCTTTTGTTTTTTCCATTTGATAAGGAACTTTCCGTCTTGAATTTTCCTTGTAGCTCGTTGTCATTTCACTTTTTCATTAAAATTATAACAATAATTATGTTGTTTTCTACCAGGTATATATATATATATATATGAGTTGTCTCAATGGCACTCATACCACATCTTCTTATTTCTGTATATTAATTGCTTTTTCCCCCAAAAAGAATTAAAAGTACGAGAAAAAGTAAACAGCATTCTGCTTTAAGTTTATATTGAAAATTATTCCAAAAAGTATGATTTATATAACACAAAGTTTTTAGATTTTTTGCTCGCCCTTTTTTTTCTGTCATTCTACAAAATGCTCACAATATTAAAGTTTAAATGTTTAAATTCTATGATTAACTTTTGATGAATAGTTATAAAATTTGAATGTATAAAATAAATGTTACATTAAATTCAATAGAAGAAGATATTTGTATTGAGCATATACTTTCTTTCATATCATGTTTATACAAAGTTATTACACATTCATTTTACTACTTCATGTACATTCACGATATGTGGCGACTGTCTTTTTTTTTAAAAAGAAATGCATTAACATTGTAAAAGCAGCCACATTCATATTAACGTACGTTAGACCATTAAGTGACTTAGTCCTCAATAAGAACAATTCAAAGTACTTGTCTTTATGACATTGTATTGATATGGCACACTTATAGATAGGGAAGTTTAAGATAACTTTGTAAAGTTCTAATACATACAATGGGGGCTCATTTAAGGCAAATGAATTATATGATTTTTTTCAAGATCCACCAATCAAGCTCCTCTGACCTAAATGGTTATACTGAGCTTTTGTCATTACTAAATCTCTGTCGTCGTCGTCTAGCTTAAATTTGATTAAAAAATTTTCTCATCCGAAATTTCCTCACTTAACTTCACGTGATTGATCCCTTGGGTGTTTTGATTATAGTTTGTGAATTACATATTACGGTCAATCAAGTAACATGATCGTTATAGTTAAAAATAGAACATAGGGTACAATGTCGAATATCTTGAAAACCATAACAGTAAGAGACAGAGCAAAATTGTTCAGACTGTCTAGTTCTACCTTTATTCAGTTATTCAGTACATTGACAAGTAAAACGAAATAATTTGGCCTCCATTTATGTTTCAACACTAGTCTTTCCTGTTGTGAACTTAAAATACAGTACAACTTTCTATCAACTAAAGACATGTGTACCTATGATTTAAATTTGATTGAAAATGTAAGAAAATTATCTAAAAAAAAAAAGGGATCCAAATGTCAATTTTTTTAAATCTGTTCATGACTTTTATCTAATCTTTGATGTATACACACTTAAATGACTAACTCAAAACTAACTCAAGATTCAAAACAATTTTCAACAGTTTATAATTGCGTATATATATAATACATAATTCGTTAAGAAAATTTTAATTATCAGTATGACATAAACTTCCAGCTTTCAGGAATAAACACTTCATTTAATATTTGAATTTAAATACAATGTTGGGGGACACCAAAAGTACGTCAGAAATGCTTAAATAGAATAGATTAATGCAGGCCTTTATAATACTGAGCAGCATTTCATATATTTTGGAATTTATCAAGTGCATTAAGGGATTTTGTGTCGTGAATTAATATATCCCATCCATTTTCCCAGAAATAATTATTAAAATGAAATTGCAATTAGTCAGATACAAGGTTTCTCAACTTTGCTTGATATCCAATCAGTTCGTGTGCTAGTGAAAGCAGTTAAAAAACATAAACACAAGATATGTTATTGTAAGTTGATTAATCAAGTTTAACACTGGAAACTGTTTAAGTATTCTTTTGAATGTAGAATCTTGTATCGAAATTTTTTACATGTTTACATCGAAAGTTCTCCGTGACCAGAAACTTGGGATTAGAAACTTGTAGTACATGTATTTTCATTGAGATTTTGAGTATCGGTCGAACCATTTTAGTAATTTGGATCTGCCAAATAGTAGAACATATTTTTAACAAAATATTTCCTATGCATAGGTGTAAATATCAAACTATGTAGAATATACTTTGGTAATTTAGGTATCAAATGAACGTTTAAGGATTGGTGATCCTTGTAGAATACCTTTTGACTGATAATTTTGAATAATAACAAAGTGTATGAATGAATTATAAAATTGAGGGCATATATTACCTGATATGAAGTACCTCGTTTGGTGTATCCAAAGTTCCGGTAACCAGTACGGTCAGATTTGTAAATTACGATATATTGACCCCGTCATCCATAATTTGTGCTACATTGTTCTCTAAATTTAAGGCCAGTTTGTGTAATAAAGTAAGACGCCAACCACAAATGTTTGAAAGTGAAATATTTAACGAAGAAAGTAATGAGGACAAAGAGTAGGTGGTTGGCGTCTTACTTTATTACACAAACTGGCCTTCAATTTAGAGAACAATGTAGAACAAATTAGCGAAGCTATCTCAAGAAATAATACGCAATACCATTTAAAAAATACAAACGAGTATACACATCAAGCAAGGGAAAACTTTCTACAGCTTCCACACAGCACGAGAGACAAATTCCGTATATATAATAGAAAAGAAAGGATATTGGGTGTCCATCCATGACACAAAGTCAGTATATGCACACAAAAAAAAAAAACACAAATAGCAAAGGAATACGCTTTAGTTGTTGTTCTTCATCTCAAAGTCACAGTGAGACCTTCAACACGGAGCAAACAAAAAAACTCTCACCTGATTGCAAGTTTAAGACGGGCTCTAGCACCGGTTTGAGAGGAATTCTTTGGATACTGATGATCACGCCACAACTGTGAATTGAAGAACAAAGACATGTCTCGAACCCATTAAACATTTGTTTAAAGTGTTTTTCCTTCAGAATTTGTCATTTCATTTTCAGATAATTTTTCAGTGCAGTCGGTGATGAAATATGTTTATCCATGTTATTTTCTTTACATTATCTGATGGATAAGTGAGTGTTTAAAGAAAAAACAAAACAAACAATTGAATATATATCTAATGTGAAATCTGCCACCCAGCAAACATAGATCTTCCATGTTCATTGGTCAAAATATCTCCTTTATGAGTGAGTGTTGGATGTGTTCTTACATAGACAATGTCGCCCTTATTAGCAGAAAGTACTATTGTTTCAGTTACTTGTAACTGGGTGGTAGAACCCTCGATAATACCTACTGCTGCACCTTCAACATCGGCGTTTTTGATTATTTCGTAGGCTCCATAAACCCCTGAATATAGCCTCAAGCTGAACGTAAACACATACACACCGTCAGCTGGTACCGTGAATATTCCAGAAAATGGATTGTAGCCACCATTGATGTTTGTTTTTATGACGTCGAATTTTAATGTATGACCTTTTCCTGGACTGGCATCATTGTGACTCATGTAGGCATAAAAAGCTGTAGTACGTGGCAATGGGACTTCGGTAGGGACTATGCTACCAACAAGTAGTCGCTTATCTAAAAAAATATGAACATGATAAATAGTAATCTTAGTAAAACACACAGTAATTTTTAAAGTTTAAAATATAATATAGTCCTTTAACCATTTAAATGTAGTAGTGTTTAGCTTTGGGATATGACAATGTTGGCCTTATTATTTATTCACCTATTTTGTGTAAATCTTTTGGTACACATAGTGTGGTTGCTAAGATTTTTGAAGTCCTTTGCTTCAAAATAAATTGGATGCCAAAAAAGAAACTCAATAAAAATAAATGTCTACCGAGGAAGGCTTTAGGATGTCAGGAATTGAAATTAAAATCATTTTAGTTTTGTAATAAAAGAAAGTTTATTTAAGCTCTGTTCGACTTTCAAGTGTTACTACTAAGTTAAATGTTTAAACAGTCATATGGATTCTGAACATGAAACAGTGAACAACAATGTGAAAAATCTTATCGAGACACGTTTTAGACATAGGACTTGACAACCATTGAATTTGGTCAAATGTTACTTACATTTCTCTGTCTCTGTTATGTTATTTCCGGCAGTATTATCTGCTCCAATACTTCGTCGTGTACACTGGCTTGACAATTTTGATACTAGTTCTTTCAAAATAGTAATTTCCCTATCTTTGTAAAGATCTGATTTCTTGTTATTGGCTAGGTCGTTCTTTAATTGAATTATTTCTACCTCCTGACGTTGAATTCGTTCATTTTGTTTTTCTAAAAGACGCTCCAAATGGTGAAATTTGCTTTCCATTCGGGTTTCAAGCTCTCCCAGTGTAGCAAAGGACAAATCGACAGACAGATACAGCATAATCAAACGACATAGTCCGCCAGACATGTTGATTGAATTTTATAGACTAATATTATGATAACATAAAATTCTAAATATATAGTAAGCAGTCCGTGACTTCCGCATGTTAATCATGCCGAATTTGGAATAAACAAACAGCGACATTTTCAAATTTCATCATTCCTCGTAAACTATAAATATTTGGAAACTAAGCAATTTCTTATTAAATATAACCGTAGCTATAACTTTAATAAAAGGACATATGTTGGGTATACAATTAAGAACCAGAAACCTAACGACAAAAAAAAAAATAGAACACTTCTACAGGTCAACATACGGTATTCAACAATAGACAATGTGCATATACAATGTGTTTAATTTTAGGTGAACCAACCCTGGCCCTGAATTAGTGGTTTGACCCTATACATATACTCATGAACTGAAACACAAGTTTTAAAGTTTTGTTCTGTTCTGCTGATTGTTTTCTCCCTTTTTGGCTTTGTAAAATACATCTCACCTCCAAATTTTTTTTATATTGAAAATCAATTGCAATCATTGTTATGGCTCAATACTAAATTTTTCTACCTTGAAAGACTCAAGGTTTTGAAACGATCAAATAAATGGACATCATATCACTGACCAACAATTATATATTTACGTGTCAAGTGGTTAATGGCTTACACATATTTCTCACATCTCCAATTCATATACTAGTAATTTGTACAAATAGAAATTAAATTACGAATTAAGTTGTCTCTTAAACGGATTTTAGAATTTACAATGTGATATTTACCCCGCAAAAAAAGGTACAACAATATTATAACTACAGAGTGAATATAAGCTTGATCAATTGTCTATTGGGTCAATCTTAATGAAAATAACATTGTTTATTTAAAGACAAAAATATGCATTAATTACATGAAGCAGTGTTGATGTAATATTGACATGCACTAACGGGTTGATTACATCAACCAAGACAAAATAATGATTGCATTATGACATTACTCATTAACCTATTTAACAGAAGTAAGACGGCGTTGTCATCCATCGTTAGTAGGCATCAACTGCGGAACCTTCGAGAACACTTGAGTTCACCCACACACTTTTTATTTCGTTTTTTGTCGTGTTGCTTAATCTTTTGTTTTCTGACAAGTGTTTTGTGGACTGTTGGTTGTATATCTTTTCGTTGTCTTTCTTTTAGTTCATGATTTTGTCTTTTTATTCGATCTAATGTTTTTGATTACCCATAGGTTACTTCTTATAGAAAAAAAATCGTCTATCGTTTTCTCCTTTACTACTCTGAATAGTCGAAATCTTAAAGACAAGAAGATAACATTAGTGCAAATTAATTACTGTTGACTATCAATCATTCAAAGCTTTAAGCAGCATCGGCATATTGACACCATATGTTGTAGCTTAACTAAGTTCTGCATGCAAAACATGATATGCTAGTCATCCAGAGACGGTAAAATTAATTTAGTGTTCTTATAAGGATAAAAGAAGATGCGATAAATATACCAATGACAACCAAACCCAACGAAAAAAAAAACAGCAGTTTTCCAAACCTTTTTTTTTATCTTCTGTGGTATCATAAATGCTATAAATTTCTCCGTCAACATAGGGTCGGCGACAATGGTCAAGTGTCTATACATTATGCCAAATTGTTAATCGTTTCCAGTGTAGAAAAGAATAATTAATGTTCACAGGTTAGTCATGAAGCAGATACAATTAATCAAAGATTGATTAAAAAATAAAATAACAAAAATACCGAACTCCAAGGGAAATTCAAAACGGAAAGTCTTTTATAAAATGGTAAAATCAAATTCTCAAACACATACACGAATGAAAAAACAACTGTCATATTCCTGACTTTGTACAGAATTGATACAATGTATATTTTCTTTTCCTTTATGGCAAAATTGAAATTCCTTCATAACGAACATTCACAACAAAATCGTCAGTTTAAGAATTTAAGACTCTGTTCTAGTATTTCTTTCGGTAAGAAATGAATTCAAATAAGTCACTGAATGGCATAATACATGTTGTCGCATTTTACATTTAGTTATAACTTCCATTGAAAGCCATCGGTGACTTAATCTGATATTATGGCATTAACTTCTATATAATTATTTCTTTCCTGTGCCTCTAGTGAAACTTTGTCTATGCTGTTTAGAGAATGCTCTTTTAAATCACATTTTATATAGCATGTAGCATGTTTATTTTCATTTCTATGAGAAATATCCAACAGGGGATCTGAATTATTAATATGAATGTTGTTTGTCATTGTGATACCTTCCTTTGAAGAAGGACATGATGTAATGCATGAAGTGGTGCTGTCCCCTGTTATTGTGACGCCTTCTTTTAACGAGGGACATGCAATAATGCTGGAAGGCGCATTGTCTTCTTTTACTGTGACATCTTTGTTTGGAGAAATGCATTGAATAATGCAGGAAGGCGCGCTGTCTTCTTTTACCTTGACATCTTTGTTTGGAGAAAGGGGTGGGATACTATAGGAAGGCGCGTTTCTGTCAGTCACTGTGACACCTTCCTTTGGAAAAGGCGAAGGACTTATATAGGAAGGCGTGCTGGCATCTGTCCCTGTGGCATCTTTCTTTGAAGAAGAGACTGTGGTCATATAGGTAGGCGTTCTGGTCTCCCAGCCTTCATTTAATTGTTGGTACAAATGTGAATATTTGTGTTCGTTAGCTTCATCATCGGAATAAGAATTGTCTTCTTGTATTTGGTGATTTTTGGAAGTAATTGTGTTTTCTTTTAATAAATCGATTTGTGTTGAACGAACTGATGTGTACGGATGTAAGTATTCATCTTCCTCACCATTCAAACTCGAATGACTATCAAGTGATCCTATACAATTATCTAACTGGTGAGGAATAACTGGAGTTAGATAATTTGATTCTACTGAGGTTGTACTTTGGCAACTTTTAGGACTCTCCGAACCGCTGATTACATCGATGTACGTGTTGTCAGTTGGATATTTACTTTCTTCATTTCTATTAACCGGTGTAAGGTAACCCGAACTCACTGAATGTTGGTCTTTGGTGTTTGTGGGAATCTGTGGTTCATCTATTACATCCAAGTACGTGTTGGTAGTTTGACTTATTATCTGCAATCTTTTAAATGATTTTATCATGGAAGATTCATCTATTTCATCATATAAATTTTCAAAACTACATGACATATTAGTTTTATTGTCTTGATTAAAATCGGCTATTTTATCTTTGTCTTTATTTACAAATTCGCCTGGATCTTTAAGTGATAAGTTTGAAATTTGTCTTGCTTTTGTCTTCTTTTTATACTTCCAACAAACAATCAATAATCCAAGTAGTAAAAAGAAACCGACTGCTGACAAGGAGAACACTATCAGCTGCTGTTTCGTAATTGCTGAAAGGCAAATATTCTTCTATATAATTCACGTAAAACCACTGCTACAGTAAAAGGTTTTAAACAAAAGCAAGCAGTACCTCTTTATCAATATTTTATATACTATATTTACTTTTTTTTTTTATTATTGTGACATTATTACCTGTGACCTTTTTTGCTTTTTGACTTTTTAACCGTGACTTTTTTTACCTACATTCGTTTGATATATCCACACAAAACCATACATAAAGTATTTTCACAATTATTGTGCTTACAAAATGTAAAAGGAACAAATTCACCACGTTTATATAAATTAGCACATAATTTTAAACCAGGACGTATAAATTGCCGAAAGTAATTTAATTGTCCCATTGGCATATCGACACGTTGCGCTTTTTTCATTCATTTGTGTTTTTGAGTGGCCCCAGATACACGTAACCTAACATCGGTCAACCGGAAAAAAAATTAAAGTGATACTTTTAAAAGTGTATGCGTCCGAAACGGTTTTCTAGATTTACATCAATCAGGAACGTTCAAAGCAGAATATTTAAAAGCCAAAAATGTATAAAAAACCGAAACAGGTGAAGCGCTATATGACCAATAATGACATAAAAACGATAGCCGAAACCATCTAAGGTAGACGTTACCTGAGGGAGTTAGGACCTTAGTTTCTTAATAATTTATCAATTTATAACATACAATTTGAAAAAGGCATGTTTACATATGGGAGGCATGTAAGCTGGGAAATTTGTAGCATTCGTAATACCGGAGAAGATAATAAATAAAGGTTGGGAAAACTACTCTTGTAAACTGCTGAATACATAAAATTGTATTTAATTTGGTATCATGTCATAAACTTACATATAACTGACTGATCCTGCTTACTGTTTACAACAAGTGGAAGCGTTACATGGCTTTTATCTAAAATAAAGAAATACCATCTTATGATGTAAATAATGTATCAAAATAACAATAATTATATTAGTCAAAACCATTTTTGACAGTCATTTTGAGACAGATTAATCTAAAAAAGTATAACAAAATTACCGAACTCCAAGGCAAATTCAAAATGGGGGGAGTCCATAACAACTGACAAAATCAAACGCTGTCAATCAACAGAATCATGAGTATTACCACTGAACTAAGAACATTATATATAAATAAGAAGATGTGGTATGAGTGCCAATGGGAAACTCTCCATCCAAGTCACAATGTATAAAAAGTAAACAATTATAGGTCAAAGTACGGCCTTCAACACGGAGCCTTGGCTCACACCGAACAGCAAGCTATAAAGGCCCCAAAATGACTAGTGTAAAACAATTCAAACAGGAAACAGGTCTAATCTATATAGAAAACGAGAAACGAGAAACACTTATGAACCACACCAAAAAAAAAGACAACAACTGAACAACAGGCTCCTGACTTATGACAGGTGCATACAAATACAGCGGGTTTAAACGTTTTAACAGGCGCCAACTTTCACCCTAACCTGAAACAGTAGTGTAACATTACAACATAAAAAGACACACTATAAAATATCAATTGAAATGGCTTAACTTGATCAAAAAGACGTATAAACAAAAACAAGTAAACATACAATGAACGAATAAGTTTGATCTATGACACAATATAAATACAATATTAATAATAAAAAAATGGCGTTAAATAAAATAACGTACACAGATAAATTTAAATATAATAATTTTGTTGTTAGTAGTACGGAAACATTTTTACAAAATAAATAAATTTGTTGTTCACAGTACGAGTATAGAAGTGAAAATTTATCGTCATACTAAATACTTATCAAAGGTGGTACACATTAAAAATAGTGAGACGAGATATAACATGTATAATTGTGGAAGTCATTAATTTGATGAAAATATACTGACCATGAACCCTTGCTGTAGTATATTGTGATTCGTTCTGTTGTTTCTGCTGAATAGTTTTTTCATCTGTAAAAAAATAAATTAATAAAATAAAATGATGATTTTATGCCGACTATTTTATTTGGTATACTTTTATGAGACAAAGTTTGATACGTTTTTGTATTCATTTGCATTTTAAACATTAATCCTGACTTTTTTAATAATGAACCCACAGATTGGCATTAATGTATCAAAGTTAACATTGGCTATCATTTTAAATAAAAGTTTTTGTTATATCATTTATTATTTCTTTTCAATCAAGCATATTTTTCAATTCGACTAAAATGCTATTGTATATCTTTATCTATACTTGCATGTTGTGTGAAATGCGGTTGTAATTTCTGTGTTCTCTGTAAGTGTTGCTTCCGTTGAAAAGGTAATAAAATCTGAAATATGTATAAGCAGTATTTCAATATTATTTAAATGGTGTGTGCATGGGATAAATCTATACATCAGTGTCAGAGTGTTATCAATATGCACAGCAAAGTTGGACTACAAACATGAATTCAGTCCCTATAGTACTTTTGTCTGGCCAACTCAAATTCATCGGATCGAACATTTTAACAAATTGAATGTTCTTTGCCATAAAACCCAGTGAAACCTATCACTTTATGTGTATTATATTTTCAAAGTAAGAAATGCAAAGTCCAGTAATGTCTTTAAGGAATTTCGTACAGTGGTAAAGTCTATCCAATTGTGATGTCTCTCAAGAGTCTTTTAGTGTATATGTATGTATGAATAGACGTAGTGAAAGCTGATTGTCGAATGTTCTAAGAACAACAGATAACATTAGGTTTTAATACTACAATATATGATTAAATAAGACATCATTAAAAGAGAGAGAAACATATACCCTTCATATTTACGTGCGTAGATTTCATGCTTGTTTCAAAACCATCAGCAGGAATGTTCGTGACCAAAATCTTAGAAAGTTTGTGTTTTTAATATCGAGGGTATATCAGTATATGATTGTGTGAAATATTAAATTTTCATTTCTGTAGTGTTTAGCAATGCAGTTATCAATAAAAGATAAGAAAACTGACTTGCCTGTAGTGATATAATCCATAGAAGTGGAAACTGTAACATCTATACATCCGATTACATTATCACAACTGAAAAGGAATATCAATTGTTGGTATTATCATGAAGCTGTAGTTACATTTGGTGAAATGCTGTCATTAACGGTTAAAAGTAAAATGTCCAAATGCAAAAAAAAAAAAAAAAAAAAAAACAGTGTCATTAAACCAAGGATGTATAGGTACTTGATTACTTGAGGAGCTATATGTTCAAGGAACTAACAAAAGAATAGCCACTTCCACTTAAGGCCAACTTTGTAAGATTGAGCTGGGATATTAGGAAACAAGTAAATAAAACAACAATTATAAATGATGTGAACGTTGAACAAACAGAGTATTGCTAGGCTTTCTCTCTTGTCAGGCCGGAATGTTGGGTTTGATATTTATGAGCGTTACTTATAAATTGAACTACTTAAGTTATTTTTATTGAAGAATGTAGTTTGAAAAAAAAAGTGTAACACTGAACTAAGTAGTTGTTGATTAACGAGTTTAGTTTATGACGTTTTTACACGAATAGAGTTGTTGATAGTTATTATACATGTACTTACATTTGATTTTCTCTGCAGCTGCAGTAATCAATACATTTATATCCATAATAGCTAATGTTACATGGTTTGCAACTACCCCCTGCTTCTGTGTAGAATCCTATCTTACATTCTAAAAAATAAATGATAGAACATTCATCTATAAGAGTGATCAAGAAACCAGCATAATGAATACAATTATACTTGATGGTTGCAATAACATAAATGGTGCCAATCTTAATGCACCAGATGCGCATTTCGACAATTAATGTATCTTCAGTGATGCTCGAGGTCAAAATATTTGAATATCCAAAGCGTGTGTTTGAAATCAGGCACTAAGCTAACTTTCAACTTTATTTTGTTTTAATCTTGTAGACTTTATTGATAAACCATATGTGCATTTGTGTTTACTGTTATGTTCTTACAGACTTCTATGGTTACATGTAAATACGTATTGGATGAGATAACTTACAACTGTTTACCCTTCCGGAGAACTTGTATTTACCACCGACTTTTTGGCTGGGTTTGTGTTTCTCAAAATAAAGTGTTCTATGGTCTGTTGTTTGTCATTCCAGTTTTTTTTTACATGTTGTTGACTGTCTTATAGTTTCATCGACTTATGGTTTTTGATTCCCGTCCACGGTATATTCTTACTTTTCATCTCTCTTAATGCCATAAATCAATAGCAACCATGCAAAGGAGAACTTGAGTTCACCCATGTTTTGGTGGGGTTTCTCTGTAGTGTTTTATGAACTGCTGTTTGTCTCTTCGTTCTTTTTCCTTTTAGTCATGATGTTGTCTGTTTTTATTGGACTCATGGTTACTGCGCATATGTATTACATGTATGTATGCATCCGGTTTTTTCAAATACTGCACCGACGGATTTAGGATTTTAAAAAGTGATGCAGATTAGTCCTCCGAAAAATAAGGAGAAAATTACGGCCATAAGGAGGACCCTGGTTTGGCACAAAGATTGGCCCCTGTACTGCATAGAGATTAAAGTAATATTAAATAGTCTTACCAACACATTGTCCATTCTTGAATTCCGAGTTTGCACAACAATATTCTACCTTCCTGAAAAGGAAAACAACAGAAAGTTATTCAATGCAGCGGCTCCTATTGACATACATGTATGCAAAAACATTTAAGATCATATACATTTTGAAAAGCAAACTGTCCGAGGACATATAAATGTAAAGAACATATGCGAATTTGCGGAAAATATGTAATAAAAATAATAATTTAAAAAGTTTAATGCAATTCATTCGTAACAGTAAGTTTGGTTTGTTAACAGCATATTTTTCCACAGGGTAAAATTCTGGAAAGGTCGCCATAAAAACTCTGCGACTGGCCCGGTGTCATCAAGAATAACAATACAATTCAGCTATTAATTAATTTTACCTGAACTTGTTGCATTTTTGAACTGATATTTGTAGTCTGAGCTCGAGATTGTAGAATTAAAAGTTTCTGATATTTAATACTTGTACGAACACCACTCACGAACACCAGTATACATACATATTCTGAACATTTTTTTATTATATACTTCAGACATACAGTTTATGATTTTGAAAGAAAGGTTTACCTTAATACTAGATTCCGTCAATATTTATGGTTACAATCTGAATAGCATGAATATCGCTATAATATTAACCATTTTATAAACTGCAAGATTTTAGGCTATGTTTACTCCAAACATTGTTTGTTTCTTTTAGAATTATATATTTGATACACTTGCATTGTTTCAGTTTTGTTTCAATGTCTAAAATATAGGAACCGTCGACGACCTATAAAACAAAAAAAAGATGGTTCTATAGATTCGGGTTCCACCAACCACTTATCATTGAAAAATGCTTGAATAAAGTCAAAATTGTCATTATTGATATGTTCGATCAATTCAATTTTTAAACTATCATGTTGTTTAGGCAGTTTTAGACTTTCGATCTTTAATATAAATATAAGGAGATGAGGTATGATTGCCAATGAGACAGCTACTAGTATCCGCTATAGACCAAATGACGTAGAAAATTTAGGTCATCATACGGCCTTCAAAAAACAGGTGCAAATGCCATACCGTATAGTAAACTACAAAAGGCCAAGATATGACAAAATGTTACACATTCCAAAATGGAAAACTAACGGCCTCATTTATGTACAAAACAATTAACAAAAAAACAAATATGATAATACAGCAACCAACGACAAGTCAGTTCAAAATTCGTCAATCAGGTTAAAACGACAAATATGCGAGTGGAAACAGTTAAAATCAGGTGACCTTGCATTACTCACCATCTTGTGTCGGAAGAAACTACTTATATTTTACTTCATTTACATATTGGTCCTAATTGACATACTTTAATGCTTTCAATTTTGTAATGGGCGATAGGATAGAATAACATTAACGGACCAGATGCGCATAACGACATTAAACGTCGTGCTCGTGGCACACTATTTGAAAAACAAAAACTTATAAAAACGTTGTAGAGCTTATCAAACCAAGAAGGCCATAAAGTATAGCCAATTGCGAACAAGTAATCAGAGCTTTGCATGAGGGAGATACATTCTTAAATTTGAGATGGTTCCGAAATTTTATAACAGCAAATTTAAATCAATGAACTAGCGTGTTTTCATGCCAGTACCGAACATGCACATTTGTTTTCCGATTATAAGTTTGTTCCTTTGGTGTCTTTTCCCCCAGTTTGTATATCTTTTGCCAGAAAATATTAAATTTATGGAACGTTATTTTCTAATACTTGTTGGAAAACTCTTCTTTAAGGTTAATATGCATAACAATTGCATTATAAAGTATTGTGTTTTACTGACCTTCCATCAGGTTTTACATCGTGGCAGAATTGTCCAAATGAAAGCTGAATGTACTGAATACTTATCAAAATTACAAATGGAAGATTACAAAGAAAAAGCATCATGGTTTATGAATGATTGAAACTTTTGTTTTTGCACATGCTAAAAATGATAATACGGAAACAAAGGTAATTATGTAATTATTAAGTACAATACAAAACCGGATTATAATATAGAGCTTTGGTCAAGTGCCATGAGGAAATTTTTGTTGTCATTGTGACCAGAGACATAAATAGCACTGTTTCTATTATTTTGTGATTTTTGATAAACCGAAGATTTAAAAATAACTTTTTCCCACAGAATATGAAAATGCTTTTACTTTATTTAAACGGGAAATGCAAACATACTTTCATTACAGATGGAAATGTTTGTTTCAATATTGCAAATATTGCCATGAGATTGCAGTTCCCTTAACTTAACTTCCATTGGGGACATACTATCTTGTTTATTAATATCTTCTTGCCAGATTACACGAACCAGGATCTCGAGGTGAATATACTGAATCTGATTAGAAGAATTCTTTTTTCAATTGAATTTCATTCCAATCCGAGAGAATAAATTCATAAAACTAGATATATATTTCGTCTGATTAAATCTGATAAAAGCATTTACTAACAAAATTCCTTTTGAAAAGTTTGGACCTGAAAAAGAGTGTGCCAATATGCGTAACTCAGTAAGGGTAGGCTTTTCGTAGAAATTACAAAAAAATGTACAAGTAAGCCAGTTTTAATGTCAACATTAAAAAATGACACGTATTTCTTTTTTGTATATATGTAAATATTCTCATTTGTATAGCAGGTATGTCTTGGTAACAATCCATTTGTTTGGATTTTACACCAATAAATACTTTGATTTGATTTGATTTGTTATCAATACAATTATGAGTTCACCTGACTTCATCCAAATATTTTGTTCTGGACCATGTTGTTAACTTTGTGTGCATGTTTAGCTATTGGGTTTCATTAAGTTTCTGTTGATTTTTCACTTTCGTCTTCATTTTATTATAGATTTTATCTGTCATAGGACTATCCTTTTCAATTAACCCTTCAGTGGTCTTAATATCATTCAGTCAGGACAGTTTTGTTTACTCTTTTTTTTTTAGAACAACACCAAATTGTGTCTCTCTCATCAGTTTTCAATTGGTTTCAGAGGAAACATCGATCCTCTAAAAGTAAACGTGTGTTATCAAAAAGATAAAATGTCCATTACAAGGATATTAGCTTAAACAATATTCTATTAAAATACACGAATGATATTGTTGGAATTATACATGTCCTTTGAATTAAGTTAAAAGTTAAAAGCTGGCACTGCCAACTGATGATCGGCGAACTGCACAATAGTTAAGAGAAAACCTATTTTTTCAAAGGCTTTAAAATACTGTTAAGCTCGGTGGCCTTATTACAAGGGTTTAAAATACTAGCATGCTTGTTGGGACAAATAATCAATTACTATTATTGCTAACTTTTCACCTGTATAAATGTGTTGCAATTCATAGTAGGATACCATACCAAACACCAAATTAAAAAAAAATTCTATTTTAGTAACAGTGACCTTAATCTTTGACTTTTACATCCCAAAATCAATCAGCTTCTTTCACTTCTCTATTCCTTTCATCTGTATAAGTTTCATTCCAAGCAAGCAAGGGAAACTCAAGCTAAAAGCTTATCCCTAACCTAAAACAAACCATTCCCTGAATTGAACCCTAAGCTTTTACAATGACAGTCCCTCATAAAGTTGCTAAGTGCGCTATCAGTAAACTAAGTTTTTTCTTTGTTTTATTTTGTGTTTTGGTTTTAATATTTCAAGTGTTTTTCACACACTAAATGTTTTGGCATTTTCAGCTCTTTTATATCAGATCTAAATAAAACTTCTACAATCATTTTTTTTTTTATTTGGATAACATAATTTTCAGAAAAAATATCATATTATCATAATATTAATCTTGGAAATGAAAATTCTTATTCATCCTTCTAGAATCTTTAATGGTGCACCTTCATCTAGAGAAGTATGAGTGTTGTTATTAACTCTCATCAATAGTATGTCAAATGTGTGCAACTCCTGGTCAATTATTGATTTTTGTTTGGCCAAGATAAACATAAGTGGGATATTGAAGAAAGCCTATGGAAGGACAAAGTCATATTCTCCACACATGTCTCATAAACTGCACTGGCATTTAGGGAATAAGGCTTTATTCAGTAAGTAACAGATTTAAATCACAGCTTTATTTCAAAATAATGTAAATTTTGTATAAAATAAAAGTATCACAGTTAAATTGTACTAAAAATAAAAAAAAATCTATATCTTAAACATAGAAACAAAGACATTTCATTCAACATTACATAGTTAAGTATTAAACCAAATGAAATCTTCAAACACCCTAATACTAACATAACAGTCATAACAGATAATTGCAAACAAAAGCCCAACACCTTTAATTTCTGCCACAAAAGTGTGTGTGTTAATATTATTACTAAAAGATGTGCATTCCTTTAAAGTTTTGTGACTAACTGTTTGGTGCTACAATTATAACAATCTCTCAAGTTCATACATGGTTTTAAATTAGGTACCTATTAACATATAGAAAGGCAGTTACAACGATATGATATACAATTATTTAAGTCACATTATATAGGGTGAACTCATTCATTAGTGAAAAAACACACAAAAACAAGAGAACAAAAATTTAAAATTTGTTGGAGACTACTTTGTTGAAATACTTCAGAAAATATAAAGATTTTAACTAAGGCCAACTAAAATTAATAAGTAGATTTTCATCCAGTTTTTTTTTAAAAATGGGGCGGGTGGGAGGATTTTATTTTTTAATTTTTATTTCCTCCGAAACCCTTTTGTAATGTGTTCTTCATATGCAAGGGTAATAATAGGCTTATATAAAGTTGAAGATGAGCTTCATTTTTTGTTAGAATGTCCTCTTTATGATACTCAAAGGGAAGACTTTTTTCAATACATATCTGACAATTGTTATAATTTTAAAAATTTAAATAAATCTTCTAAATTTTTATAGCTCTTGACTCAAGAAAATGTAACTCTTATGGAAAAACTGGGCTGTTATATTTGTGATTGTTTTGAATTAAGGAGATCAGGTATACATATTGACACTAAGTCAAGTAAATGATTTGAGAATGAATGCATATAATGTAATTTTATTCTTTTATTCACAATATATATGTGGTTTTTGGCTCTGATTCTGACCAATGCTAATATACTAAATATATATATTTTCAAGTGACTATTATTGTTGTTGTAACCAATTATGTAAATCAATTGTATCTGATTTTATGCCCTTTATGGGCCCTGTAATTTGGGAAATAAAAATATTCTATTCTATTCTATTCTATTCTATATCATGATTATATAAGGAATTCTTCATAATTTTTTAAATTCTTAAATAAATATTTCTGATTGGCAACCACTGTACTAAATGTATCGTCGATGATTGCAAGTTCGTGACATTTGGGGATTTCCACTTTATTCGTGACGTCATGCAAAAGTATTTATCATCGGCAAAGTGCTACTTCAAAAAAACTTAACCGAATATTTTTCATTGCACTTTCACTAATATCGGCTTGAAAAAGAGAAGTTGTGTATGTTTTAGCATATTATTTGTTCAAACGTCTATTTCTACTACTACTGTTTTATTCCTCTCCTAGAATTTCGTTAAATTCTTGGGAAAATCCTTTCAGCAATGTTGTTGACATCTAAACAATGAGTCATCTATTTTTAGGTTATGTGGCCTCTTTTTCCTTTTTTTTTTAAGGCCAAGGGTATTATTTTTTAAAGTCTGTATGTGAGTGGATTTTTTAAGTTAAGAAAATAATTTGATATATTTTGATAAAACAAAACCTGCCGAATGTTGGCTCAGAAAGTAATTTAATCCTTATGCCATTGAATGCAAATTGAATGAAAAAATACTTTGATGCATTAATGACATTGTGACATCGATATAGTTATCTTGAACGTGTTTAAAGTGTTTAATTCTGGACTTTTCAATTGACCATTGAAAGTCACGTGTAAAAATTTGAATAATTTTTGTAGGCAGGATAAAAAGTTAGTAAGTCCCAATTTCTCTTTTATTATCGAGATATTCATTTGTTATTTGATCTCAAATTTATTCTGTAATGTTCAAATACATAATACAATAGGCCTGACCTATATATTGTTGCACATGCGCAAAAGCCACCGTCCAAGACAAAGGTCACGAACTTACAAGCATGTCTACTTATTTTACGGAATCGGGTCACAATACGAAACATAAACAGATTGACCATGTTTCTGAAGCTATTCATTAATTAAATGTATCAGACTGTTTGCAAATAAGTAAAGAATATTTACATCCACAGTGGATAATATTTGCTCCAAGATTGTGAATTTTTTCTTCCGTTTCGAGTTCGGGTAACGAACTTCCAATCATCGAGGATAATCACCACTTTAGAAACTTATTTTTAATAAATAACAAAAAGGTGGAGAAAGGATCTCTTTTAGAGTACCTACATCAAATTATTTTGTTTTCTAAGCTATGATTTGTTGTGATCATATGCATTGGTATGAAACACAAGTATTATGAGTACAGAGTGAAATGAAAACTCAAACTGTGTTGAAAATACTAGGGTTGATTCTTTTATCATTCTTATGCAAGGAGCATACAAATTGTAAAACATGAACTTAACCAAAAAGAAGTTGTTTAATGACTCTGATGAGGTACTGGGGGACAGACGGTATTTGCTGTTCGTCAACAAAAAATGACTGCCTTGGGGGTAAATCTAATGGCTTTATATAATACATTTTGTATGTTGGCCGACTTTTTGTACTTAATATACGGTCATAAATCGTACAAGTTCGTGCTTGTGTCAATTTCTTTATTCCAGTCATGTTTTTTGTACCAATGTGTTCCACGATTCTTGCGCTTTGGATATCATTCACAGTCCAAATTTCCTATCACATAGTCATTTTTAAAATAAAAATATCCACGGTTTTCTAATCACTGAAATTTGTGACATACCGTGATTTGCGTTCTTTGGACACCGCCTATTACTCGTAACTCGAATATTTCATGCCCTTCCCGTAATCAATCTATATTCTCGGAAGATAATGTTGTCATCATAGAGCAGCAGCATATGTCGACTTAATTTTTTTGGTTAAATTACTCGAAAAAAATACGAAAACCGAAAATTTCCAACTGGAAGTTTTGAATGAAACGAAATTATCTACGGTTACCGGTAACGGAAATGAACAAAAATCCGGATATCATAAATTTTTAAAAATAAAAAAAATCGGGGCGGGACGATTTCAGAGGGGCGGGCGGTGATGAAAATCTATCAATTAATTTGAATTGGCCTAATGTCTGTTTGATTTTTTTCTAGCATCTATTAAAATATTGTAAAAACTTATTGATTTACAATTACAGCAAGTTTAAATCTATCCTGCAAAAATAACACACACATTTCTGCACAAGTTGTTTCTGCTTATACAATTACAAATTATTTTCTCATATATAGGATTATAATAATTGTGTAAAATATTTCTTTAAACTGAGAACTAGTAAATAAAGAATAGTCAAGGAAAGCCATTACCATCATTTGAAATGTCTGAACATAAAAATGATAAGGCTTGGTTAACTTAATCCAGATACTTTGGTGGGGATAAATCAAGTACTTTTCAGACAATTCAGAATTTATTGTTTTACGCAGGAAAATAAATTTATCTGAAAAAAATCTGTGAACAGTTCTGAATTCAGTGCAGTGGATGTCTGAAAGAATGAACATGACTTAATAATCTAGTGTTCCATCCTTTAAAATTGGTTCAGATGAAAAATTATTAATTCTTACTATGCAAACGTTGCTAAGTGTATCGATTGGTATGTAAGCATTATCTTCTTTTTATTGAAGAAAATTATAGTCCTCTTGGTTAAACATTTTTTGTTTGGTTTCCACAATCCTAGTGTTGAACATGATTTATCAAGTATTTCAGTCCTTTAAGATCAATTCAGATAAAATTGGTTGTTCCAGTTCACAATCTATTTACAGTTAAAAGTGGAATGATTTTCAGTGAGCAAGCTCAGAAACCCCATATGATTCAAATATAGTTCAAATGGGATATTTTTACAATTATCATGTTTTTGTTCGAATTTAACATCTGACTCAATGAATGTGTCCGTAGAAGACATTACTAAGTTGTAAAACTTGGATCTCACCCGTTTGTATAGTTTATGAATAATAAAATAAGTTAAAACTAATGTTTTAAGCATAAAATTATGTTTAAGTGAAAGATACATGCACAAACTACTGTTTTTAAAAACATTTAATGGTTTAAGAGCATTTTGGGGCTGTTCCTATCAGCAATTGTTGTAAAGAGAAAGCAGTTTGAATATAGAATTTTCCATGAACAAAATTTATATATTTCTAAGAAAAATAGTTCCAAACACCTACCCATCTAATGAGTGTTATGTAAATACTTGATGGAACAGCCTACACTTTCAGGTTTTTGAAGACTAGAATTTTGTATAAGAAATACAGTAAAGAATGAAAACACACAACAAGACTAAGATAACTATAGCATTAGTTTAGCTAAATGTCTGCTAAAATGTACAAAATGTAGAAAAATAATTTGTGTCAATGACAACGATGATCTTAACAAGGCAGTGAAGATTCATGTCCAAATAAGAGCCCTTGAGTTAGGGTTTGTTTCTATCTTTGAGGCAGCTTCCTTCTGGACTTTAACTTCTTTCTTTGATAGTCTTTTCTCTTTACATTTTTGTAAGACAGATAAAAGTTCAGTCATATTCAAATTAGCAGCTCTTTCTATCACAGTCATGTAGATTTCTATGTGTTCCTGTTCCTCAGTTCGGAATATATACTGTTAAAAAAAAATAAAGTAATGGTACATTTGAATAGATATCATTATTATTAATGGTAAGTTTATTGCTATTAAATTCTGTGAAAAGAAGATCATCAAGATAAAACGTGAACTCTGATCTATAACTTAATATTAAACACTTAAAAAAAAAGATAGTGTCCATAGTACACGAATGCCCCACTCGCACTATCATTTTCTATGTTCAGTGGACCGTGAAATTGGGGTCAAAACTCTAATTTGGCATTAAATTTAGAAAGATCATATCATAGGGAACATGTGTACTAAGTTTCAAGTTGATTGGACTTCAACTTCATCAAAAACTACCTTGACCAAAAACTTTAACCTGAAGGGGGACAGACAGACTGATGAACGGACGGACGAACAAACGAACCATGAACGAACAAACGAACGGACACACAGACCGAAAAACATAATGTACCTCTACTATTGTAGGTGGGGCATAAAAATCAGCCTAATATCTACAAGTATAAGAAAGTCGGGACAGGTTAAATTCTCATCAGCTTTTTGAATTACTGTAAATCAGTGAACAGTATAACATCCAGATCATACTCCTGTGACCTTAGCAGTGCGTTCTGAGAGATCATGACATCCTATGTCTGTTGGTTACACTTAGCACATAAGATAGTTATCAAATGTGCCATAAAAAATCCTTTCTATAGGCCTACCTTTTCTTTTCTTTTTAAGTCTGCATCAAGATCAGCCAGTCTTTCTGCAATATCTTGTTTTCCATAATCAACAGCAAGAAATATAAGATCTCTGAAGTCCTCTACTAGGGGAGATAACTATAATAAATAAATAGTTATTATAGTTCAAATAAAAGAATTTTCTTTTTTCTAATGTTGGTTCAATTTTCCTTATCAGTTCGTGTATGATTAAGTTTGAGTACATTGCTAAATCTTATTCTTATAAAATTATGTTGTACTTGACAAGGAACATTTGGTGACAACCTGTAAATAATCTTAACCTTACAACTGAGACTTCTATGTTTACATTAAAATGCCAGGTCATATGAGGCTGATTTTATTCAAAATTTTATCGTCTCAAATAGAAAATATATCAGTTTTTGAAAAAAGATGATGTGAGGTATATTACAATTATAAAACAACAACCCAACACAAAGGTGGGAGGCTACACCCTTTTGGCAATAACATTCTCACTTAGAATTCCAGTTTGGCTGAACTAAATCTCCCATTATTCAATATTTGAACGTAAAGGAAAATCTTTTTGTAGGACACAACAATATGAAAGAGTATCCTTTTGCTGGAAGGCTGGTTTACAATAATATAAGCACTCAACATCACGCTTAATATTATTTTGTCCATCATGGATACTATACATAATCAAACATGGCACATGTATAACTTATTGTTGCATATGCAGTGTTCACCATGACCTCAATGTAATTGTTTAGAACAATTGAAAATTATGTTATTAAATTTATGAATGTAAAGAGATTTCATATATATATAAATATTTATATCAAATGCTAGATTGATGTGCATTTACAAAAAATGAATAAAGAGACTATCAAAGATCTGCCATGAAAACCAATTTTCTAATAGACAAAAATATTTTTATTTTTAAACTGTATGAGATATTAATTCAATATGAAACTCATTCTGCTTACATCAAGATCATAAAGAATAAATCTTAAGAAGTATATATTAGAAATATTGTCTCATTTTAATCTACCCTATATTTTTTGTACCACTGAATTTCTCCAGCTTCTCTTCATCTTTCCTTTTGAATCTACAATAATTTGACTTACAATTATTGGAAAATCAGCCACTGGATATTTACAGTTCTTCAATGCTTGAGAGAAAGCTTGTAGTCCTTTCTTCTTTCCTTTAATTATTCTTCTCAACTCTTCATACTAAAAATAATACATATAAAAATAAGAAGATGTGGTATGATTGCCAATGTGACAACTCTCCACAAGAGACCAAATTACACAGATTTTAACAACTATAGGTCACTGTACAGCCTTCAATAATGAGCAAAGCCCATACCGCATAGTCTGCATGTATGTGTCTAAAGTGATATTTCAACTTTGCATCAATGACTTTTAAAAGTTTATTTTCATCTTTCTTTATAAATATTATTACTTTGCTATTTCCATCACCCTAATATAAGTTCTGAGGAAAGTTATCAAATTAAGGGATTGATATAATCTTGCTAGTAATAAGTAGTTTGTATTACTTAATGACTGTTAACTTTGAGAAAACAACTTACCTTTTTCATGCACATGATCTCCCTTGGCATTCCATATTCAGCCTGAAAAAAGAAAAATAACATTTCTCATTTCGAATAAGCTATGCAGCCATTTTTTAACATACACATACTGAATTTCTCCATTAATCTTTTAACCAACGCTGGTGTATATATACTACAGAATTTTCAATCTAAAATACACTAGGAGCTTTTTTTTCTCTATTGAGTATCATTTAAACTTGCAAGTGATAAACGTTACTCTCTCTTCACAAATCTTTAACATAAATTATTCTGACTCTCTCTGTATTAGCAATACCACTTATACCAAAAGCAGAAGATATGGATAGTACTTTGGATTTGCAATATCCATCCTGTTTTATAGAGATATTTCCAATTATTATAAGGATCCTTCCTAAGTTTACAAAAAGAGTTTAATGTGTGTTTTCTAATCTGCATTGATATAACTAATACTATTTTAATTTCCTATACAAGAATTAAACAACTTTCTGGTAATCATGATTTTTACATACATGTACATTTATTTCTTTGTCAAGCCATTCATCTTTATTTGGAATGTCCTCATAATCACTGGGTAGTTTATTTTTCTGAAAATAAAAATAAGGATCATAAATCACAACTCATAGGTTTTACAGATCTTTATGTTTGACAGCAATCAATTTGGGTGAAACATACTATCAAGAAGAGACTATATCTGTGTCATGAATACCAATCTTGCTTTGTACAAGATCAACATGCTCATCCAAATTTTCAATGTGCAAGAATACATTTCAATCCATCTAAATTGGGAAATATTATTTGGAGCTGAAGAGTCAGATTCTAATTGATAGTGGAGTATGCCCATACTGTAGATTCATTTATTTTCATGGGTACCAATTTTCGTGAATTGAAGATACTTTGTATTTTCGTGGATATATGATTATATTTTTTTCCAAATCTGCATACAAGCCTATAGAAAATTTGAACTTCGCTGAACATTCAAATCTGATGTTCACCTTTATCTACGAAATCAACGAAAATTGGTATCTAACAAATAATAATGAATCATTTTCCAAATTAAAAAATCTTGATTATTTATCCAAAAATTGAAACCATAATGTTTTGTGCTTGCAATGAGCCTGCAAAGACACAACCATGAATAAAAAAAAAGATAATGAACCTAGTTAGTGGTTGCCTTTTGTTAGATCTTTCAGTTTTTGTCATTTAGGAAATTTTGTGTAAATATTTGATTTTTGTTAGTCTTTGTTAAATTCACTCACAACTTTTTTTTTTAAGATTTGGGGCAATTTAGAGCTTTACATATTGTATATGAAAATAGTATGTTGGACTCATTGATATCTTCAGGGTTTATATTTTGTCATGGTATTACTGCCTCATTCATTATGTCATTGATGTATATCCCACATTTCTTTTTATTCATAAAAGTCTTACATTATCTTTGATACTGGTATCAACTCCAGCATGCAGTAAATATTTCCTGATATTCTTTCCGTCTACATCTAACATGTAAGAGTAATGCAGAGCTGTTCTCCCTTGCTACAAAAAATAATGTAATCATAAGAAATATATACTCATGCCAGCTGGTTAACTTTCATGTTAGATATACATGTTAGAAATTAATAAAAAATGTTTGCCATGATCAAAAATAAAAACAACACATTGTACAGATATATCTATACTTTTTGGTATTAAGCTGAATTGTCTCAAAATAACCCTTAATCTAGAGCTGAATAAGCTTCTGACAACTTGCAACAAATACTTTCGAATTTTGATGTCACATTTTGTATATTGTGATGCAACATTTTGCGAGAACTTATGTGACTTAAAGTAAAGGCAGACAAATTCGCTTACAAGTATAAAAAATATGCTTCAATTAAAATAAATTATTGAAATGAGGCAAACTTTTTCCCTGTATTAACAAAGACTTAATAATATAGTCAGCTATAAAAGGCCCTGATTTGACAAAATGTGAAACCAGAAATCCAACAAGATTGTTTGTAGAGGAGTATATATTAATTACTGTAATTTACATACACAGTCTTGTAAGTTTATATCACACATTTCTGTCAACAGTATGTATCTGACAATGTCATCTCTAGCATGGAGCGTAGCAATCATCAGAGGAGTTCTCCATCCCTACAAAATATTTGGAAGTTTTTTTCTTTAAAAAATAGACTGTTTTCTGTTCTTTGGTCGATTGTTGTCTCTTTGACACATTTCCCATTTCCATTCTCAATTTAATGGTACATATTTACCTTAGGAATTATGAACAGTATAAACAAAACAGAAATGAGTATGTTTATGAATTTTTATCTTATTGCTGATAGGGGTTCATCCAAACTTAATTATGGTAATAAATTTTACACATCTTAGCAAATAAAGTGCTAGGAAAACACAATACATATGTTTTGTTATAAATTAGGCTGTTAGTTTTCTAGTTTTGATTAATTGTAATTGTCACTTTTTTCATGTTGGGGCATACTATAGTTGATTATACAGTAGGGATTTTTCTCATTGTTAAAAACCGTACAGTGACCTATAATTGCTTATATTCACTTCATTTGAAATTTGGTGGATAGATATTTCATTGGCAATCATACCCCATTTCTCATTTTTATATGAATAAAAATATTGCGTCACAACTAATTCTTAAGAAAAAAAACACTTAGTTTTCTTTTTATAATAAATGGACTTATGTTGAGAGAAAAGGAACTTGATCAAAGCAAACTTGAAAATAAATATCTATTACTAGAAAATCCAAGATATTGGTTCATTTTTTTAAAACATATATACAAATCATAAATGAAATCTCCTAGGAACAAAATACTGTACAAACCATATACATGAATGCAATACCTTATCTCTACAGTTAGCCAGTAGTTTAGGTCTAGCACAGTCCTCAAACAACCTCTGTATAAATCCACAAGGTTCTTCTTCTACACACTTTTGGAGGGATTCCATATCTGACTAAAAAAAAGAAATAAAACAGCTTGAAAAGAAAATCAATAAACTCATCTCCATAAGCAAAGATGTGTCTCCATTGTTTGTATTTTTGACAATGAAATGCATGAAATTAAAATGGCAATATTTTAACATGTTAACCATGCAAAAGATTCAAAGTCAATGAATAAAGGTGCATGGCTAAATAATTTCCATCGAAATGCGATGTGCCAATGTTAATACAACTGTATACCACATATAACTGACTTATCATAAGTTGTTTGCTTAAATTGACCAAATCACAAACCTTAACATGTAAACTATGCAAAAGTTTCAAAGTCAATAAACCATGACTGAGGGGGAAGAGCCAAATAATCTCCATGGAAACAAGATATGCCAATGCTAATACATCTGCATACCAAATATAATTGACTAATGAGTGGTTCCCCTTAAACATACCAAAATCTAAATCACAAGGTTTTTAATTTTTATTGAAAACACAATATTTAAAGTAAAGTCATTGTAATTAAGACAATTCTTTGCTTTAGACATTGCTAGTTAATAACAAGTTCTAACAAGTTGCTCTTTTATACTACAGCTTTTTGTATTATCTATAACTTACCAGAAACTTTGGAAGCCATGATACAAATTTCCCTGCTTCATCTGTTGTGTTGCCTGCTGCATATATATAAGCATCCCTATACTAAAATAGAAGGTTAGACATTTCACTTATATTTTCATTGTTTGTTTTCAGAATATGTCTTTACTCTCTAACTAAACGTTCAATTTCTGCTCATTATTATTGTTGACCTTCCTATGGTAAGTTGTTCTTTTTCTCTCACTGTTAAGTTTACCAAACATCATGTTTGTGTTGCACTCTATTTTTCTCTCAATTTGAATCTTAATACAATGAAATTTCGATAGTTATGTGTTAGTCATTTTTAAATTTTGATTAATTTTGTGAAGACCAAATGTGCAAAACAAAATAATTGATAAATTGCTACAGAGTAGTTTATTGAAAATCTCTTCTATATTTTTAACACCTTTTTCATTTACTTACATTGTATTCATGCAACATATTATCATAACCATCACAAGCCAACTGTTCTAGCTTCTCTATATCAGAATCTCGAATGATTTGAACATAAAACTGCAAATATTTTATATTAAAGTAAGAATTCATCCATTTTATATCATAAACTTGCAAATTTCATGTTAAAGAAAAAAATGTTTTGACACAAGATAATATCCAAGTGTTCTTTTCTGTTTAAAGGCATAAAGGCAATATTTGGCCCCAATTTTTTTGGCAAATTTTAAAAGTAACCATACACGATCTTAAATTTGCCCTAACATGCACGACTTAGATAAAGTGATACCTCTCTTTAACAATGACAGGGGGTCCCTTAATTTGCACAACAAACGTTTTACACCAGTATAAGTATGTAACAGTATTTGTCAGTAAAATTCGAACCTTAAAAATCATCAATTTGAGAGAGTCTTGGACTTTAGGTTGTTTGAGAATAGAACATTGAGACATATCCCACATCTCCTTTTGTTCACATCAGGTAAGAGATTGAATGACATGATTGATTGATTGATTGTAGTTTGATTTATGTCAATCCGGTAATTAAACTTTTGATTTTAACAATAAATGTGATATTTGGATAGTCCAATGCAATGGATTGTATAAGTGTTTGTGATCATAATGTAGTCACTCAAACCCGTGTCCATTCATTTGTGCATTACTGATTATTTGTACGGCTCCCATAAAAATACATTTCTGCATTAAAACATTAAAATTATACATTTATTCCAATAGTATTTGGAGAAGCTTTTATCAAATATTGTGTTTTATACTTTAAATGTTGAGACTACCGTACTGGTAAAAAAGATTAACAATCAAACCCTACCTTGTCTATAAGATCCCTGACATCAGACCTCCTGGCAAATGAGGCAACATCTCGAACTGTTACTCCAGTCTACAATAAAGAAAAATATAAAAGACTCAATTGCCTGTCGTTTGCACAGTATGTTTCTTAAACAATGGAGATTGGTCTACAATGAATATTTAAATATGGAAATATAATATGGAAGAACAAGTTTCCAAGTATGGAAAAATGGAAGTAAAATTCCATTACAGCAGTTGTAAAACATTAATATTTGTATATCTTTTTCTTAAGTTTCAAGGATCTAGATTGAAAACTGTATGAGGAATTGATTACACAAAACTGGTTCTGTCTTTTATAATTTTGCTGAAAAATAATTAAGTCCCCATGTTGAGAAGGAAAATACCTCAAACAACTCCATAAGAGTATGTGTACAACTTTAAAATATCTGAAATCTATCAGTGAAGTATCAATTATCTAGGTTAAAAACTGTAAGAGGAGGTGATTACACAAATGAGGTACCCATTTCGGAAGCAAAGGTATACCTCAATTGCATGTTTGCTTATTAGCAGTTGATAATTCTTATATGATTTGCATATTTGGTCGAGAAGGCTTCCAGTAGCGGTTTTTGAAGTGAATTGATTTTGGATAAAAGATGTTGACCTTACTACTTTTATATATATTCACACACCAGGCAAATCAAATGAACAAAAACAAAATAACTTGTGATAGACATTACGAACGGGGAAAACAAATTCTTTATCTGCGATCATCAACTTCAAAGTAAAATATTTACATTATCTCTATCAGCTAAGTAAGATCCATTTTTCAAGAGAAAGTTGAAGATTTCTAATGGAAGACATCCATTGGTCTTATCCAAGGCATACACAATCCCAGTTCTTCCTCTCTAAAATAAAAATGCAACTTCAAACATCATTTTGTAAATTAAATATCTGAGCATATCTCATAAATTGTTGACATTGACCATGAATAGAATATAAAGAATGGACGTGTCGCTGTCCTATATATTATGTGCACTTTCAAAAAACATGTAGAGCGGGGCTTGAAATATAACTTTCCTGTCATTGGTAAAAAGGATTTGACTTGACTTCATTTAATATCTACCACAGAAACACAATTTTCATTTGATGCTTAGAAAGTTATGCAATAACAGTAAACTATACTCTCTAAGTGTGAATAAACTGTTAATATTTATGCCTTGCCTGTGTAATAATTTGATAGTTTAATTTAAATGGCAACTCTTTTTACATGTAAACTATGCATAATTTTCAATATCAATTGGCCATGACTAGGGGAGCAGGGTCAAATAATCTCCCTAGAAATGAAATGTGCCAATGCTGGTACAACTGCCTTTCAAATATCATTGACCTACCATTAAAATTGTTCCTCTTAAAGAGACAATTCGCAATATTTTAAGAATACTTGACGCCACTGATGTGGCTCCAAACACCACAAATAAGTCTTGGCTCTGTGACTTTACTGGGAGGGCAAAAAAGGATGTCAGTATATGTCAAACAACGCAAACAATAAAAAAAAACATCAACATATAGTATTAGTAGACAGGTTTCTATACAATATGTCAAGCTCTAAATCTCATTATTTAATTTAACTGTAAATCTATTTATCAAACTAACTGTAAATAAAACTTGATAAATTTTAATGCCTCTGCTTACCTCATCTTTCAGCCTGAAGTTAGCACCAGATTTCAGAACTGTCATCATTATATTTTGAGGTGTATGGTTGTTTATTGCTTCAAAATACAAAGGTCCCTAAAATAAAACAAAAATGATTATCAGAATTACATTGTCTGTCCAAGACTGGTAAATCTTATACAGGAGAGGTCATTATTAGCACGTATGATAAAAAAATGTCCAAACAACTGTATTCTTGTGTGGTAGTGTGTATAACAAACATAGTCTTAGTCTTAGATATATGCTTTTTTTTATAAGTTGTTATTGGCTTTGAACTAGCTTTCAGTAACTGTCAGTACTCTCAGATCTGGTCTTTGTGTCTTTAGTGTTTTTTGTAAGTTGTTTTTGTGCTTTGTATCTTTCTAAAAGTTTTTTTAAGGTTTGTTCTTATGTTGTGCTTTTACACTACCCTCCCAGGTTTGGGGAGCTTTGGGCACCTGCAAACATTTTAACCCTGCCACATTCTGTATGTTTCTGTCCCAAGTCAGAACCCTGTAATACAGTGGTTGTTGTTTGTTGCTGTATATCATATTTGTTGTTCATTTGTTGTTTTTGTAAATAAATCAGGCTGTCAGTTTTCTCATTTGAATTGTTTTACATTTGTCATTTGAATATACAGTATTGGTTTTAATCATTATTGAAGGCTGTACGGTGACCTATAGTTGCTTACTTCTACATCCTTTGGTTTTGTAGCTAGAGAGCTGTCTCATTTGCAATCATACCTCATTTCCTTATTTTTATAAAGGTACAACAAAATACACCTTATCGCTATTCCCGGCTGACCCGGCCGCTTGAACTTTTGACGTCAACAACAATCACTTTTCCATTGTGGCGTCAGATATTTTGTTTTATGACGTCAAAATTTTACGGGAACCTGTGTGATATCCAGTAATGGCTGACAAATAGCGATAAGGTGTATACCCATTTCAAAGCATAATACTGAATGTTTAAAATGAAGAGCACAAATTTACATTAGCTAGAATAATTACTAATCATACAGACAATCCATTCCTTTTCAAAATGTTAATACTACGTACCCAAAAGTATTCATTTACAAGAACTCTTAAATTAACATCTGCTCCTGCTTCACATAACATCTTCACCAACTCAAAATCTTTCATCTTTAGGGCATGCTGTAAAATGTGGGGCTTGTTCAAGGACTGAAAATTAAAATCAACAGTTAATATATTTGGAACTTTTATGAACCAGCTATTTGAAACCCTTATGGTGGTCAATGTTGTTAAACAACCCTATGGTAAACTTTTTGGCAAATCTTAATAAGTGTCATATTTACATTTTGCTTATGTTATACAATTATTATTTTGTGCAACAAACCAAATTAAAATGTGAATTGATGAACATCTACTTTGGTTTAATATTTAAACTGGACAAGGAAAATTAATCTTTTTTTTTAACATATTACTTCAGGATGTGGTCTGACACCCGAGTTACAAGGATAATTGTTTTATTTCTGATGATGCATAAAAAAAATGACCTAATGAAGTTCATATTTCATGACTACATTTAGCTGAATATTTCCTGTCTAACTACCTAACTATGATATTTCATCTGTCTTCTTTTCATCATTTCATTAAACTACTTTTAAATTACTGTAGTTATTCTCATTTCATGAACTGTTTATTCATGTTCATGTTATAATTTAATACTTTTCTATGTGAATACTGAATATAATGCTATTACATTTATTTATATATAGTTTATATAGGAGAAAACTCCATAAGCTGGTAAGATGTGTGTCTGAAGTACATTTGCATTACAGTAATTTTGTACAAAATAGATTATACTTCTTCTTTTAAATAGGGTGAACATTCTTCAGAAGGAGAGAGGTTCACCTAACAATATTATTACCATGTTCAGAAAGTTAACTTTACACCAGGATTTCTTCAAGGCCATTCTAACTTTCTCATAGTTCCTTTCCTTAACTCCATACACAACATTCTGCAATTGTACAAAAAAATCCAGATTTAATTCATGTATTACAAATTCTATTTCTAATAAACACAAATAATGCAAATAAGATTTAATTCTGTTAAGTTACAGTGATCATATGAACATAGTTACCATATGCCATTTTTATCTAAATGTAAATAGGAAAGATTACTCTTGCATACTCTGATCGATTTGTACATGTTCAAATATCACTACTGCCTCAAGAAATATTAAGTTCAAACTATAGAATAAAATCAAATTATTACTTCATTACTGCTATTTACCATTATTCTTTGGATAGTGTAACTAGAAACAAACAAGTTAAACTATCAGTAATATGCTCACTAGTGATAACCCCACTATAAGTATTCTGTAAAGCAATGGATGTGAAAACATATCTCATGGTAAAACATGCTCATATGAAGCTTGATACTAAATTTCAGGAATTGTTCCAGAGAAAAAAAGCAAAAAAAGATTTCATACATGGCCATTATGTGTAAGAAAATATAAGTGTTCAGTAAATAGTAAGTTGTTGGGTAACTGATGTCAAAACACATCCTATGGTAAAGCACTCTCAAATTAAGTTTGATACCAAATTTCAGGAAGCTCTGATAGGTATTTCCTGAGAAAAATGGGGCAATTTCATACATGTCCATAAACAGGAAGTTGAGCGATGACACATAGTATAGCATTCTTACATGAAGATTGCTACCAAATTTGTGAAAACCTTGATTTGTAGTTCCTGATAAAAATATGATGAAAATTTACTAGATGAACGGTAAAATACTCAACCCAGTATACCTGCCCTCCTTTGGAGCAGGTTTTTAACTGTTGGAATAATAAAGTGCTCATTTACTTAAAGGCACAAAAATATTTATGAATTTCATGGTTTCTCTACATTCCTTTACAATTCTTTGACCAGTTCAGATCTTAACATTGATTATTTTTACTTGTCCTTATAACAAACATTTCTAAAATGTCTATGTTAAAACAAGAATGAAAGGGTATACTCACCATGGTGGCTTTGTGTTGGTCTAAGATAAGAACAATATCATGGAACTTATGGGCAGCTGCAAACTGTCTCAATGTTTGACCATTCTGTTAAAATATATATAATAATACATGTCTCAATGTTTGACCATTCTGTTAAAATATATATATTAATACATGTCTCCATGTTTGACCATTCTGTTAAAATATATATAATAATACATGTCTCAATGTTTGACCATTCTGTTAAAATATATATATTAATACATGTCTCCATGTTTGACCATTCTGTTAAAATATATATAATAATACATGTCTCAATGTTTGACCATTCTGTTAAAATATATATCATAAAACATGTCTCAATGTTTGACCATTCTGTTAAAATATATATAATAATACATGTCTCCATGTTTGACCATTCTGTTAAAATATATATAATAATACATGTCTAAATGTTTGACCATTCTGTTAAAATATATATAATAAAACATGTCTCAATGTTTGACCATTCTGTTAAAATATATATAATAATACATGTCTAAATGTTTGACCATTCTGTTAAAATATATATAATAATACATGTCTCAATGTTTGACCATTCTGTTAAAATATATATAATAAAAATACATAAGAAATGCAACTATTTGTATAAGGACATTTTTTTTATACAACTTGATTTACACAATTCATACATTTATTTATTAAATATAGATAAAGGAGGTTTTGGGTGAATGAGATAGCAACTAAATGATGCAATAATCCAAAGACATCATTTTTTTTTCTATAGTATAATACTTACATATACAGTCGACTCTCGTTATCTCGAAGTCAGCCGGACCAGAGAAATATTTCGAGATACCCGTAGTTCGACTCAAACGAAAACCGGAAGTTTGACAGACCAAGGGACACAACTCTTGCTTAGCTTGGTAAAGCTAAAATAAATCCGGATGAATATGGGAAGGGGATCGATATTCTGGTCTCATATCGATGGATTTGTATGTTATGGTCTTTCATTATTATATTAACATTGTTTTCACTTATTTAATTATTTCTTTGAACAGTTACAATTTTTCCCTGTGGCTTTTATCTGGGAGAGTAATTTCCAATCGATCTTAGCGTTATTTAAGTCATTTAAATTTGACAAAATTGTTTATTCTCGGATACAAGAGATTTTAGAAATTTAGATTTATTTTAATTTTCTTTTATCTCAATCTTTCTTTTAAAGAAAATAATACAAAAAGATAAAAGACTCCGATTGAGTAGTTTTTATGTGATCACCAACGGAAGTCTTCATCCCCACTTTATACACATCCAAGTTCATCAGTGTAAATCACGATTAATTTAAGTATTTTTTTTGTAAACATTTTAAATAATTTTTCATAAACTTTAACAATGTATCACTAATTATTTATCATGGTGATAAAAGATAATCTTAGGTAAACACTCGTGGAAATAGAATGTCATAAATCAATACAGTAGTCAGTAACTGGAAATTTAATTACACGTGTATTGTCAGATTAACTCTTCAATCCATTTAAATCCCGGAGGTCATGTTTTGACATATGTGTATTAGTTCGAGATAAATAATGAGTTTTGAATGCTTTTGTTAACCTTGGGACCGTAAATTTAGTTCGACTCAACCGAAATTTCGACTCATCCAATTTCGACTCATCAGGAGTCGAAATACATATATTTATATGGAACAAAGTTCGGGACCACGAGAAAACTTCGACTCATCCGAAATTTCGAGTCAACCGAGTTCGAGACAACGAGAGTTAACTGTAGTTTTATATTATTTCAGGAAAATGCAAAGTATTCTTTCAACCTTTATATGAAAATTGTCATAAATCCTTTATTTTCCCTCATCTTGTAATCATTAACTTTAAACCATCATGGTAATAATTCCTTCACCTTTCATTAAGATGAAGCTTTTAACTTAAAATATTGTAATATATACTTTATCCTTCCTAACCTTGTAACCAAAAAAAAACAAGGATTTTACAGTTTGTTGTCATGTTGTGATGTTACACTTCTGTTTTAGGTTAGGGGAGAGTTGAACACTCAAAAACATGTAACCCCACCACTATCTTTATATGCTCTTCCCAAGTCTGGAGCCTGAACTCAGTGGTTGTTGTTGGTTTTAGTCTGCCATAACTGTTTTTTGTTTGTTTTTTAGCATAAATCAGGCCTTTGGTTTTCTCCTTTGAATTAGTTCACATTTTGTCATGTCATCGCCTTATATAGCTTACTATAAGGCATTGGTTTTGCTCATTGTTGAAGGTTATATAGTGAAATATAGTTGTTTACATCTTTGTCCTTTGGTCACTTGTGGAAAGTTGTCTTATTGGCAATCATAGCATAACTTATTTTTATGTTGTAATAATTCCTTTACTCTCATGAACACTCACCTTGTAACTATCCACTTTAAACCAACATTGTAATAATTCCTTTACTCTCTTTACATCATAATTTTGCACTGCTGTAAACATCCCAGGCTTTAAACCAAAATTACATATCAATATAAAATTTAAATCAAGAAATAAACAAGGATGATTTACTGCCTTTCCATCAGACCAAGTTCTTGACATTACAAATCCTTATGCCAGGGTTTTTTCAAATTATTGGTTTACAAATTTTTAAACGGAAAAGTTTTGGTTATTGGTCAGAAGAAAAATGAAAAAACATTTTACAAAACATAAATGTGAATAACTTCACTGTAATATTCAACTTTATTTCATATACCCAAATTATTCTTTTGATAAATGCCACGATCATGAAAAAAACACCACAAAAAAACACTAAATAAATAACACATACTGGTAGCTGAGTTGGTGATAGAAAAGATTGTTACCCCGAGAAAACATTGTCAACTGAGACGAAGCCAAGGTTGACAATGTCGTTTCGAGGGGCAACTATCTGCTCTATCACTCTCTCAGATGTGTGTTATTTAAATTATTATACTGAATGTTCTCCGTTATTACTGTCTATTAAATTTCAAATTCAAGGTAATAAACTATGACATCTTGTACAAAACATCCATTCGTATTTGATAAAGCGCACACTTGATTAAGCGTCTCCTTGAAGGGTAATAGAGTATTTGCCATGGGATAGAGTAAATTATCTCCCTCATATTAACCAATCAAAATCTGGCATTTTGACATGAACAATGATGAAGTATAATAAAATAATATGGTTAATTGTTGTATGTAAATATCTTTGGACAGGTCTGTTTCATTCATGACTATGACTTACATTGTATGTTTGAATCAGATGACCATCAATGTTCGTCTCAATAATAACAGAAATGCAGAACTAACTTATTGTAGTGAACTTTAATCATAGGTTCCACAACGTAAATTATTTGCCTAAACTACATTTCTGAATCAGCTGCTGTTGGTTGTATTTAAAAAAAATTATTTTAGAATGCAAATACAGCATTCTATCATTTTTGTTTATTTATAAAAAAAACATAAAATTTGAAATAAACACTACTTTGCAGATATTTTCATTAATTTTTCAAGGAAAATGTATATTAGATTACAATCAAATTTTTTTTCACAAAATCAGAAAATTCAGGTTGACAGATAGATCTGTAAACCAGCAAATTTAAAAAGCCTAGCCTTATCAAAGCATTTATGAAATATGTATCAGTTTGTATGTAGAATGAAAATAAAATGTAAACTTATGTCTGACTTAAAACTGTCATCAAGAAACTACAATTTCTATAAAATTCTATATATCTATATATTTCTCATGAGTAAAAACTTCTTCAAATGATCATTAATGAAAGTATATATGGTACATTAAACATAATTTATTTAATGTATAAAGCTTAGCCAGCAGAAAATTATACAAGTGTAAAATTAATATCTTAGAATCTGATACAGTTACAAAAAACGTAACATTAATGAAAAAAAATTTACCATGCATCAACTATAAGCAATAAACAATTACCCCTTACCATGTTATTTTTGATTCTACATCTCACGATTTTCCCTATCATTATATTTGTCATTCTACATCTTGAGATTTCAGCTTACCTTATATTTTTCATAAGCCTGTCTCCAGTAAGAGTTTTCTGCAGCCATGTCATATGATGTCTTACCCCACTATAAAATAAATCAAATTTTCATCATTAGGTCATTAAACCATTGCTTGTTTCTCAAGCCTTATTTCAAGTGGCTGAGCATTTGTTGTTGTTCGACCATATGTCTGGAATCTACAACCATTATGACAATTTTGTGATAACATTTTAAACTTGTTTGTTGTATTTCCTTGGCACTTAGTTTATAGATTTTTACATTACATATAGATTCTACCACTGTATCGAGTGTGATATGATATTTATCCACTTGAGACAGTTAAATTTTCAAATTTAAAACACGAGGTTCGCCAAGCGTTTTAAATATTTAAAATTTAACTGTCGAGATTTTTTCACAATTTTTGCTGTAAGTTCAATATGGAATAATAATATGAAAAAAAAAAAACAACAGCAAAAATGTGTACTTTTCAAATCCAACACCTTCTTGTTACTATCAAGATGAACAACAACAGTCATGAAAATAAAAGTTCTCTGTAGACCTTTAAGCAAATTTCAAAATAACAAACAGCAGAAAAAAATATTCCTTTGATAAAAGGTAATTTAAAAATATCTTCTGGAAACATTATGTATTTTTCATGCCTACCCCTCATCCCTCCCCTGTATTTGAACAGGGCATACATAAAACACATTAAAAAGTTAAAATTTGATTATTACGATGAAGAACTCTAATATATCAGTTAATTTTATCGCTGTGTTGAAGACCTATTGGTGGCCTTGGGTTGTTTTCTGCTCTTTGGTCGGGTTGTTGTCTCTTTGACACATTCCCAATTTCCATTCTCAATTTTAATTTGAAAAAAGTGTCTCCCAAACCTATCACCAAACCCTATATTTTTACCTGATCTTTGACATACAAATCAGCACCACATGCCATGACATCATACACATGTAAACAGTTCTTTTTAAATGTAGTCACATGCAATGGTGTGTAACCAAACTGAAAATCAGAATGAAAGACAATTTAAAGAATACAGGTCTATCATACTGACAGTTTTGATGAATGCTAAGTGATTAAATGGAGATAAAATATTATGGTTTTTTTTCCATAGCACATACCCTACAATCCCAGTTATGTAAGGGTAAAACTAATTCAATTTATATCTAAAATGTTATTGTTTCTTCTCAATAGCACTGAAAATTAGAAAATTCTAAACATAAAATTATTTTCTTGTTTCAAAATTTCATTAGGGATCATATGTTAAATTATTGTAGTAAATAAACCATTTTTAAGACGTTTGGGCTACTGGCCTTCTTCAGTTTCTTTATTATCCTTCTTCATTACATAGTAGACATTTTACTTTCACGATCATTAAAATGATATATCACATTTTAAATATAACATTTCAAAACGTCTTAATAAATGGTTTATTTACTACAATAATAAAATTATTTGATAATTAGACTAAAGGAAATTTGGAAACATTTTAGAAAACTTATTAATATCTCTTAACTTGGTGTGGGGTTTAAATAGTTAATGTCTACAATAATGACCCAATTCTGAGACTATGCATGCCTGACCTCTGTATGAAAATTTTGGTCCTTATCTACTTTTAGACTTTAATCTATTTTCATGTGAGAATACCTCTATTTAACGACTATGAATAAAAAGTTCCTTTTTTTGAAATAAAATATTTTGGATTCAATAATAACTACAATAAAGGTGTACAAGTTTTCCTGAACTTTGTAGGAACTGATAAAAAACAGATTTTATTACATTTTTGGTTTCTTTGATTAAGAGACAGTTATCTCTGTATGTCACATACACTCTCTCAATAGACTATTTTCATATTTCCGACTACGGAGAATAATTTTTGACAGGTTACCTACTCTGAGGTAAGACATTCTGGTATACAGTCAAGTACAGCAACAACAAAAATAAATCAAGCGGTGCAATTTTAGAGAAAAAAAACCTGTTTTCTGATGATTTTGATGTGTATAGAAAACATAAGACAGTTAATTTATCCCCAAATTGTAATTGTAAGCTTGATTTTACTTCTTTTATAAACTCCGGAATCAAAAGTCTGTAATATGAAAATCGTCTATTGCATAAAAGGATATGTCAGTCAGACAGCAACCCAACAAACCAAAAGTACATCTTCAGGTCAACAAAGAATACCAAACTTATCTTGTCAATCAAAATTCATCACTATTTCGTTTTTAGAATTGCCCCAAATAATATCATGTGATTTACATTATCACATGATAAAATACATCTTACTACCAGAGCCACTTTTACATTAGTGGATTCTCTTCAATCCTATAACAATATATATATCAATACTGATAATCAGTAAACAAATATTCTATTCTTTGTACCTTATTCTGTGCATTAATGTCCAGTTTGGTTGCTGACAAGATATGGAAACAGTCAGGCCTATACATACTACAAACATAGTGCAGGTAAGTGTTGCCTTTCTGAAATAGTAACAAACAAATAATTTACTTAAGACTTAAAAAATATAAATATTTTGAAAATTGAGAAATGTCAATGAGACAGCCAAGTTATAACACAAAAAACCAAAGGACATCTGGAGATTTACCAGACTTCAATAATAGACATGTGTCTATATATGTATATGTACAATATGTCAAGTTCTTAATTGGCTGAGGTAAGAATATTTGTTATTCCTTTATTGTTTTGTACATATATCAAGCCGTTAGTTTCTTCGTTTTTTAATTGTTTTACATTTGTCCTTTTTTTGTTGGATGTTTAAATTTCCAACATGCAATATTTCAGTCACACAATCAGACTAATAAATCTGTTCATATTGCAAGAGGGTTAGATTTAGTGAATTTTGTTTTTCACTTTAATAGTACTATATAAGTTTGTTCATACTTAATACACAGATAGATTGAACTCAGTAGGAGACCTTTATTTAGCTAAGAAAATTTGTAAATTTTGACATAATTCTTATGACAAAGCTTTAAATCAGTCTTAAGAAAGTAAGATTTAGATGTTCAGGTAAATATACACTTACCCTATCTTTGAAATGGATGTCTTCTCCATTTTCTATCAACCATTTCAATTCTAAGTAGTTGTTATCTTTAATAGCTTGGCCAATCTTGGTCTGAGAACAAAACTCAAAGTATTTTTGCAACATACATGTAAGATATAAAGAGTGTACATTTTAAATTAAGTCATATGTAAACCATTCTAATATGACGTTCTTCAAACACTTTGAGTACACACCTGTGGTAAAATATGAATATATTGTTTGGACTGTTCCGATCATACTCCCATGTCATATCCTTTTTTATGAATGAGCTACCCAACGTCATTGACAAAGACGTAAGAATAATAAAGAACCTTTGTGGGCACGCTCACATACCCCACGCCCCAACATTGACACTGGACAAACAAAATCTCACCAGATTCCTAAGTTCACAAACTCATAACTCTACAAAAGTCAACTGATAAAAATTTTCATGTGGATATGCACATTTACATATTATGTCCTCATTAACTACAAAGTTTTATGAAATTCTGTTGTGTGGTTTTAGAGGAGTTGCGATGACAAACTGTTGCAGTAGTATATTGAGGCCAATAAGTTCAAAGGGGCATAACTCCTAGAAAAAAAATTGAATCATAATTTCCTGTCGATTTGCACATCTACATAGTATGTCCTTATTATCTACAAAGTTTCATGAAATTCTGTGGTTGCAATGACAAGAACAGGACTGACGAACGGACGGACAGACAGACGGATGGACAGACAGACGGACGGGTCAAAAACATTATACCCTCCACAACTTTGTTGCATGGGGTATAATAAGCATTTTACGGGAAAATGCACGATTGTGAAACCGAAAGTCATCAAAACAAGGAAACATAAACAAACTATGATAAAATGTGTTATAAGCCAATTTTTTTTTTACATATAAGTAAAATTATCATTTAAATTCATCCAAACCTATCTAAATATGTTGTTGTAAATAGTTTAAGGCTGTCACTAGTTCAGTTTGCTCCGTTCTTGTATGTCAATATTATAGTGTGTTTATCTACGGGAACCGCAAATATTTGCCTTCACCCAGAGAGCTTCGATCCAAAAGAATTGCTGTATTTGCCTATAGAATAGAAATAATTCATGAGGGCTTGAATTTATCACGGGTTGGCCCTTTAAGCCGATATTTTACCCCTTCGCTATCGCTCGTGGTAAAATATTTAGCATAAAGGGCCAACCCGTGGTAAAATCAGTATAAATTCAAGCCCCCATGAATTATTTCTTAAGTAAAAGCATGTACTATCTACCTCAAATGAAATGTATCTTTCAGAGTCAAGTATTTTGGATATAAGAAAACTCCCCATAATTGCATAATTGTTTCTGACAAATAGGCTATGCAAATAACTGAAAAACCACTGTACAGTATGGGTTTTGATCACTGTTGAAGGCGGTACTGTGACCTATAATCGATTAAATTCATGTCATACTGACTCTAATGGATAGCCAATGAAGTTGTCTGATTGGCAATCATATCACATATCCTTATTTTATGTATCAATTCCAGTTAGGCAATACGAAAAGAACATATTATGCTGTTTAAAATAGTTTATAGAAACAATGTTTACATCTTTCTCATGGAGCCCATCTAATGCTGTCTAGTAGTGCAATATCACATAGCTGATGCATTCAAAATATCTCAATATTTTTTAGCTGGTTTCTGCTTAAGTTTTAATTGAAGAGGGGGTTGTTAAATCATATGTAAAAATTGTGTATCAGTTTAAGGAATATACAATTTCCAGATTTACATGTAATAATGCAAATATTTGATTTTTTTTAAGTTTAAAAAAGGTACATGAATATAAGACAGCACAGCTGCTTTTTTATGTGTCACTGACTTCATTGATGAAAATATTTTCTCTAATTTTTCACTATTTTCACATTTCCCAACCGATTGTGAAAAAAATTGTTCTCCTCACTAGCTATCAGTGAAATAATTGTTCTCGGCAAATGGTTGGTCGAAATTTAATTATGACGTCAAATTTTCTTGGTTTCTTCTGAATTTAATATTGTGACATCATGAAAAAAGGTGACCATGCCTGGTTACTTCACATATAAAGAACACAACTTTCTGCAAATCTTTGAAAAGGAAGGATAAAAATCATCAGAGAAACAGATTCCACCACTATAACTCGTGTATAATGATATTTCTCCACTCTCAACAGTTAAATTTTAATTATCTAAAAAGCTCGTCAAGCCTCATGCTTTAAATATTAAAATTTTACCGTCCTGAGGGAGAAATATCGTAACATACTTGTTGCAGTGGTGGAATCTTATAATGTCCATGTTGGCAGCTTTATATAATTACCAACATGTGAAATAATTTCTGCAGAAAGTTAAAAATAACTAGGGACACTGGTAATCAATTTTACAATATAGACATGATAGAATGGAGAAGAAACAATTACCTTAGCTAGTTGTGTCATTTCCCCTGCCATCTTTGTACAGCATAGATATTTCAGCTCAAAACATACATATAAGCACTATCTGTATGAACTAGCAAGCTTTCAAGATCAACATTATTTTTTTCCACAGCACTCGATACCTATATAAAAAATATATAGTTTTCTTTTGTGTGTGTATTGCAGTTATGACAATATATGTATGTGTATCATAGTAACAAAAAGTACAGTTGCTATGGCAATAATCAGAATTCAGTATAACTATAATTGCTTTAGGTGACCGAAATATATTTTATATTAAATGCATTGGTGCTATAGCCTGTGTTAGTCAATTGGAAATCGAGGACTTCAAATGAATTGAATAAAAGCAATATTGACTCTGAAGTTAAAGCTGAAAGGTCACATTAAATTGTCCACCTAGATATAATTATAAGAATGTTTTTTTCATTTTTTGTCGAATTACCAATATTTATTTAGTATTGTAGACAGCCATGTTTAAATGGTAATGGGGTCACCAAGTTCACAACCCAAATTCTTACAAAGAGATCAATTATGTATCATTTAATCAAAGTTTAATACCAACTGGTCTTTCATACATTCTTTTGTATTTTCAATTAATATCTATTTCTTTAAATGGTTGTATTCATGACTGGCGGTGATTAGGGTCATCAAACATGATTTATCTTAAATACAACAAAAATCATAAATGAATCATTTACATTTTTTTTTTTTTATCAAACTTCATGAACTTTGAGAGCAATTGGTCCTCCACATGATTTTTAAGAAACTTCATATTCCTTAGAACTACATGTATAATCGTGATAATTACATGTGTAGTAATTTAAGAAATTTCCTAATTTTCATTTGTTTCGCTACTTAGACAGTGTTCTCCCTAGAAATTTTGGATAGCATCACATTTGGCGTGAAAAAATAAACTGTATTTTTTTCAATATCATTTGTCGCGTGCGGGCAATGCTCTATTTTCTTTTAGTTATGTTTATATTGTTCAATACATTATTGAGAATACAATTGAAGTATAACAGTTGTTTCAGTTCATGTCTTCTATATTCATTTATAGTTACAGAATTTAAAAAAGAACTTTTTTTTATATATGAAATAGGAAGAGTAAGTATCAAATAGTAATAAAATTTCAATTAAAAAAAAATCTGTTTATCATCATGTTTGTGAAATTCATTGTTTCCTGGGACTCAATGTATTAGTCCCAGTTGTTTCTTATCAAAATGATGTAATATATTTTTAACAAACTTTTAAATTAAGCTACTTTAATCAGTATACTGAAACAATGCATTTACAAAATGAATTCATTTAGCAAGGAGATCTAACAAATAATCTGTTAATGCACATGGAATGCGTAGTTTTCTCTTTTGGGGTCAATATTCTTCTGTCAGCTGTGCCATTTGTGCGTCTGTAATTATCGTAAAAATGCTGATTTTGGTCATACCTGGTCCGCATCCGATCCGTAGTTAGTACAAATATTTCAATGGCGGTTGAAGGAAAATTAACGAAAATAAACAATGTTTGACAAGCGATTAGGAATGAATATGATGCTTTTAATGCAATAAATGGATGAAGCATTAACTACAGGCAATGTTGATCACTTTCTAATTTAGTATCAAACTTATTTTGCCGAAAATCAAAATGTTGAATATACGCTCTCAAGAAACAAGTACCGAAGGAGAAAGAAAATACTTCTTTAAAAGTTGTACAACTATGTTTGGTCAGCAAGTTTGTCAACATCGACGTACCCAGCGTAGTTTTTTCTTCTCTTAAAAGACAGTTATTGCATGATGCAAACGTAGATTTCGAATATGATAATTTTGAATTCTTTTTTCTCGATGTCAAAATTTGCGATTGGACCACGTGGTTTTAGTCATGTCATAAGTGTCAGCTTGGGTTATTCGTAACCAAACAGTTATCGCCCAAAGGGCAATTAACACCTATTCAATCACTCTTAATTGCCTCTATTGTCCGACTTAAAGGGATTACAATTAAAGGTAATATAATTTTTATGATCGCAAGCGGTAATTAGATGAAAGTTAAAAATTTAGGACATCAGTTTTGTGGCAATGTATAATGTATAGAGACAAGGAAAAATAGCATCCTCAAAATAATTACAGCATCACGGAAATTATTAAAGCGTCACGGGAAAAAATTATAGCGTTGCGGTGCCGCGACGCTAAAACGGCCTGGGGAGAACACTGACTTAGATATAGAAACCAGGGGTTCTTTTCATACAAAATCTTACGACTAAAATTGATCGTTAGTTATACTGAAATGTTCATGACTAAAGAGTGATTTTACTCGTAAGAATTTTGTGAAAAGAGTCGCTGCTCTTTGAAGCTGCCAACAGTCAACTGTTGCACAAAGAACTGTTAATGTTGATAGTAGGTTCCTTTGTACTATTGTGTGATTAAATGAATATTTGTATGTCAAATCTTTATTGGTTTAAATTTGTTTATAGTCATGATAGTGGTTCATATGGTTATGTCTTGTTCTGCTGTCTGATGTAATGAAAAGATCTTTAGATGGATGGAAAATCATTAACCAGTCTTGTCCTATTGTGTTGCTGAATTTAAGTCCTGTTGTAGTTCGGATGCATCATCTTTGATTTAGATGTTTCTATAGATGATGTTGTCATTAGCAAATTAACCTAGTACAGTGCTGTGTTGTAAGTATTTTGGGAAATCATTATGGTTAAATAAAAAATCAAATTGGGCCAAGGACTATGCCCTGTGGCACTTTATATGTTACCCCAATTTTCTCTGATAGTTCTCCATCTAACATGGCTGTATGTGTACGTTTTTGTAGAAAATTACCAATCAATTCCAGGGTATTATTGTCTATGCAGTTGTAATGTAATTTATACATTGTATAGTAACCTTTTGTGGGTGACTTTGTCAAAAGCATTAGCAAAGTCCATCACAATGACATCGATTTGTATGTTGTTAATGTGGCTTTTTGCTAAGTCCAGTACAAAAGATATATTAATTGTGTCTCACATGAGCATTAAGATCAAAAGGCATGTTATAGATCATATAATATATTGTTTTTTCCAATTTGTTCCATTATTTGAATAGCTATGCTATTTCCATTATTTTACAAAGTATACTTGTTAGAGAGATAACCCTGTAATTTATGGCATTGTGTTTGTCTCCTTTTTTGAGTGCAGGACAGACGTTTGCATGTTTACAGTCTGTAGGTATTTTTGTGTGCATTGATTGTTTTTGACAGATGAGTGTGATGATTGGACTAAGATTATCTTTCATTTCCTTTAATACCTTGCCACATAGTTCATCAGGGCCTGTGGCCTTACTTGGGTAGATGCTATGTAGTCCAAATTATTATGACATGTTGAAAGGCTATTTTATTTTTTTGCTGTGACACCTTCCTACATGTTTGTATAGCAAGAAAAATAAAATAGAATTTCAAGAAGTCATAATTATTTGGACTAGATGTTATGCAGTAATTTGTTGATGCCCTTTTCTAATATATTTATTTCATTTATTTGTGAATGTGATAATAGATTCTTTACTGGTATTGGATTTGCCGATGATTCAGTGGTGAATACTAGTCAAAATAATTATGACGTCTTAAAATCTATTTGAATTTTGTGTTCAGGGCTCGACAATAACGCTTGTCAGATTGTCTGGTACCAGAGGAAAAAAAGGTCGGACAAGTAAAAGCCATATCAAGCTTGTCCAACGGGACAAGTAAGAAAATAAATTGAACCCAACTTTGATGATCAAAGTAGTAAACAAAAAACAGAAAAAGAAGATAAAAACAAATATTAATTTGACATGTTTACTTGCGATCGATAATTTAAAACTGGTTCTTTGTCAGATACTTTATAACAGATAAAACTAATACTATTCTGGGAAACCAGTCTTACCGATCGGAATCAGAGTTCGGCACCGTCACGGAAACTTCTCGGCTCCATGTTTAATAGACAGTCCGGCACCGTTGGAGACATTTCGGGACCAAGACAAACAAGTACCTCGTTTTCCTACCTTATTATGTTGCTTTATGATAAATTTTATTTAGCAAAAATATTTTTAAAAGAAAAATGAAGAAATTATTGACCATAAAATTCATAAAATCATATTTAGCCAAACAATATTTGATTGTGTTTGAATAAACATTTTAATATATTAAAAACAAAGCTGATTGTAGCAAGGCATTAATCATGTTAATCATAATAATCAATATTTTATCAACATAAAAGACCAAGATAAAAACCAAATGAGTGTAGACTGACAGGCCTACCAGACTCTGCCTGATGTGCAGAGTCTGATGAGACTTTGGCATTGATGAAAACTAGAACCTAAGTCCTGTGACTAGACATTACTAGATTCAGTTGTTCTCGACTCATATTTTAGAAAAGGATAGCAAGAGATATAAATCAAATTCTGTTCTATTGTTTAAATTCATTTTGTTCATTGAATCAACCTAAAATGCAAAAAGGTTAATATAAAGGTTTTTTTTTTGGAAAAGTTACAATTCCATTCGGACAAGTAAGTTTTGGTATGTACTTGTCCTATTGGGCAAGTTGAAAAAAAAGTTATTGTAGAGGCCTGGTTTTACGCAGGAAGGCGTCACAAAAAAATATTAAAATAGCCTTTCTAGACGCCATAATTATTTGGACTATGGCCTATGCATATGATATGGTGAATACAGGATTCCATGACAACAGTATTTTGTCAAAGAATTATGCCCCATTGCCATTCTTCATTGTTTATAAATATAAAACACAATTTGAAAAGATAACTAGGTCTAACAATACTGGTATAAACTCATATTCCATTACTGTGACTGTATCCTTATTGTTTTTTGGGAAATATTTAAAAAAAAAAACCACACTAGTCACTAGTCTACAGGAATTAAATTAAAACTACTAGTACTAGTATACCAGTATTGTTATCTCGCTATGTTCAAATTGTAAAAAGTATTGTCAGTGAAAATCTTATAAAAATTGTAATTATACGGGTTACTGCATATAAAAAGTACTTAAAAGGAATCTTCACAGCTTAGTTTGTTGGTTGTCAGAAAAACCGGAAGTTGATGTTTCTCTGCAGATTCTAATTACAGAAATGAGTTTCGGAAAAATCTCCGGAAATTGTTCGTTCGTGTTCATGCTGTTATGTTAATATTGTTATTATGAAATATTAACATAACGTATTTTTAGCTGACCGATAGAAAACTGTTTTTTTTAAATTCTCAAATGTGGTATAATATTCTGCAAAAATTCAAACCTCTTAAAAAGGGAATAGCATGCTAGATGACGGTACTTATCTCTGAAAAAAAAAATATTCCTATATACCTTGATATTTAAGGTATATAGGAATTTGGGTTTTTTTTTTCTAGTAAAAAGGAAATATCATGCTAGATGACGGGGCCTAACGAGGTTTGAATGCTAACAAGAAAGCTATTGAAGTCCATTGAAGGCTCTTAGTAATGGTGAAATTGAAGTGATCTTAGACGCCTTCATGATCTCTATGACCGAATGTACGAAAAAAGTCACGGAAAAAAAGTTCACAGATAAAATGTCAAAGGAAAAAAAGTCGCAGGAAATAAAATGATTAAAAAAAATAGTAAATGTAGTATATTAAATTTTTGAATGTAAATACATTTTAATAGATTTTTATTAATATATAGGCAGAAACATACATCTATATTGTTTGTGCTGTATTTAGACCCCTCTACCCAGAAATATGTTTTGCATGCACACGTATAAAAATTGCGGTTTTTATCCAACGCAATCATAGGTTTGAACGTTGTTTTCAATTTAGACTTATCAAGTTATATTTTTTCGTTTGGGCTTGTATTATATTTGTCGTCGGGTTTATATGATTCGTTTATCCTATTTCGACTCTTCAAAATTCAAGAGTCTATCCTAAATTGAGGTAAATTATATAGCCTTCCAAATACCGTTTCGATTCCTAACATCACTGAAGAGACATTAATTGTCGAAATCCGGATATGGTGTACAAATTTTTGCACCTCATGTTTGCGGTATACTATCTTTTCCGCAAGTTTATTGTTTTCTGTTTGGTATTAAATTAATAATAAAGATCCATTTTGTTACATCTTGTGAACCGTTTATTTTGGCAATCGCCAATGGCAGTCAGCAGGGTTCAAGAACATCCGTTGTTCGACCTGTTAGTCAAATGCGTTTTGTTTAAATATACCTTTTCACTTTTTTGGTCTTTTGGAAAATGTTGTTTGTGCTGTATTTAGACCCCTCTACCAAGAAATTTGTTGTGCATGCACACGTATAAAAATTGTGGTAATCATAGGTTTGAACGTTGTTTTTCAATTTTGACTTATTTATATCAGCACAACAATGTTAAATCTGCAAATTTGCAGTAGCAAATTTTTGTTCTTCCCTCGCCGGGATTCGAACTCATGCCGCGTATTGGGATATCGTGACAACACCGCCTGCACTGTGTCCAGCGCTCTAGACCACTTGGCCATCTAGACTGAACTAAAGATTCAGCTTTCAGTGGCCTAGTGTTACCTTTCCTCGTCAGTAGAATCTAGAGTTGTAACACAGTAAATGATATATTAGGCATGAAGATAGAATTGATTGCAGATTAGCTAAATCATCTGTCGTAAAGGATTGTAAGATGTAGTCACAGAAATAATTATTTGACAAGTACGTCTAAACAAGTGACAACTCTACGACAGATCCATCCATTGGATCACCAGTGAAGGTGATACACGGCTGAAAACACATGTTATATTTATAATTACTTTAAATATCACCACAACAGTGTTAGATAAGTTGTTCTTCCCTCGCCGGGGTTCGAACTCATGATATTGGGATATAGTGACAACACCGCATGCACTGTGTCTAGCGCTCTAGACCACTCGGCCACCTAGACTCAGACTCAGTCTAGTTGGCCGAGTGATCTAGAGCACTGGACACAGTACAGGCGGTGTTGTCACTAGACTCAGTCTAGGTGGCCAAGTGGTCTAGAGCGCTGGACACAGTGCAGGCCGCGGTGTTGTCACATCCTTATATCATGAGTTCGAATCCCGGCGAAGGAGAAAAAAAATTTGCTTCCGCAAATTTGCAGATTTAACATTATTGTGCTGATATTTAGAGTAATTATGAATATAATATGTTTTCAGCCGTGTATCACCTTCACTGGTGATCCAATGGATGGATCTGTCATAGAGATGGCACTTGTTTAGACGTATATATATATATCTATCAACCAGTGAACCAGTGACAACTCTACAACAGATTTATCCATCGGATCACCAGCAGTGATGGTGATACATGGCTGTGTACATTCTGTATATACAACTCGTCTAAACATCAGCCCAACAATGGTAGATCTGTAAATTTGCTTTCGCAAATTTTTTGTTCTTCCCTCGCCGGGATTCGAACTCATGCTACTGAGATATCGTTACACCAAATCGCCTGCACTGTATCCGGCGCGATATCTAGACCACTCGACCACCTAGGCTTCACTATAATTAAGCTTTCGGTGGCCGGGTGTTACCTTTCCTCGTCAGTTTTAATCTAGCGTCGTAATACAGTACATGATATATAAGGCATGAAGATGGAATTGTTACAGATCAGCTGAAATATCTATTGTAAAGGATCCTACAAATTAATGCAAGATACAGTCGCAGAAATAATTATGTTAATAAGTACGTCTGAACCAGTGACAACTGGAAACCGAAAGCTTTAATATTGTGAAGCCTAGGTGGTCGAGTACATATATATGCAAATTTACCCAACAATGTCAGATCTGTAAATTTGCTTTCGCAAATTTTTTGTTCTTCCCTCGCCGGGATTCGAACTCATGCTACTGAGATGTCGTGACACCAATTCGCCTGCACTGTATTCGACGCGCTAGACCACACGACCACCTAGGCTTCAAGTAATAAAAGCTTTCGGTGGCCGGGTGTTACCTTTCCTCGTAAGTTTTAATCTAGCGTCGTAATACAGTACATGATATATAAGGCATGAAGATGGAATAGTTACAGATCAGCTGAAATATCTATTGTAAAGGATCCTACAAATTAATGCAAGATACAGTAACAGTAATAATTATATTCATAAGTACGTCTGAACCAGTGACAACTCTACAACAGATTTATCCATCGGATCACCAGCAGTGATGGTGATACATGGCTGTGTACATTCTGTATATACAATTCGTCTAAACATCAGCCCAACAATGTTAGATCAGTAAATTTGCTAGGGAAGAACCAAAGATTTGCGAAAGCAAATTTACAGATCTAACATTGTAAGGCTGATGTTTAGACGAGTTGTATATATATATATATATATATAAGTCTGAAAATTACACCCAACAGTGTTAGAATTAGACTTTTATGCTGACAAATTTTTGTCCCTCAACGGGATTCGAACTCACACCTTTGATACACTACAGCACCAATCGCTTAGCCTCATGTCCAGCGCTCTAGACCACACGACCACATCCGCTATAAAAATATAACTTCAATAGTCGTAGTGTTACCTTGTCACGTAAGGCGAATCTAGAGATAGACATAAGACATGTGTTTTAAGCGTGTGAAGATGTTATATTATTATTTAATACACAATGTATTTGTTATTTGTCAGCAATTTAACTCAACAATTTTTATATACCGTATGGGATAATGATTCAATTCATTATACAGTCACTAGAAATAAGTATATCATACAAACAAGTCTAAGCAAGTGACAACCATACAATATATATTCCCACTGGATCTCAGTGTGTTTGAGACACAGGGTTAATACAAATATTTATATAAGTCTGAAAATTACACCCAACAGTGTTAGAATTAGACTTTTATGCTGACAAATGTTTGTCCCTCAACGGGATTCGAACTCACACCTTTGATACACTACAGCACCAATCGCTTAGCCTCATGTCCAGCGCTCTAGACCACACGACCACATCCGCTATAAAAATATAACTTCAATAGTCGTAGTGTTACCTTGTCACGTAAGGCGAATCTAGAGATAGACATAAGACATGTGTTTTAAGCGTGTGAAGATGTTATATTATTATTTAATACACAATGTATTTGTTATTTGTCAGCAATCTAACTCAACAATTTTTATATACCGTATGGGATAATGATTCAATTCATTATACAGTCACTAGAAATAAGTATATCATACAATAATTATATTCATAAGTACGTCTGAACCAGTGACAACTCTACAACAGATTTATCCATCGGATCACCAGCAGTGATGGTGATACATGGCTGTGTACATTCTGTATATACAACTCGTCTAAACATCAGCCCAACAATGCTAGATCTGTAAATTTGCTATCGCAAATTTTTTGTTCTTCCCTCGCCAGGATTCGAACGCATGCATCAATTTAGACTTGTATAAATACATATATATATATATATACTTGTCTGAATTGAAAACAACGTTCAAACCTATGATCGCGTTGGATAAAAACCACAATTTTTATACGTGTGCATGCAAAACAAATTTCTTGGTAGAGGGGTCTAAATACAGCACAAACAAAATATTCCAAAAGACCAAAAAAGTGAAAAAGTATATTTCAACAAAACGCATTTGACTAGCAGGTCGAACAACCCCTGCTGACTGTCATTGGCGAATGCCAAATAAACGGATCACAAGATGTTACTTAACAGCCCAACAATGTTAGATCTGTAAATTTGCGGAAGCAAATATTTTGTTTTTCTCTGGCCGGGATCCGAACTCATGCTCCTGAGATATCGTGGCACCAAATCAACTTGCACAATGCCCGACGCGCTAGACCACTCGACCACCTAGGCTCGATAAAAATCAAGCTTTCGGTGGACGGAAATATATATCTTTCCGCAAGTTTATTGTTTTCTGTTTAGTATTAAATTTATAATTAAGATCCATTTATTACATCGGTGATCCGTTTATTTGGCAATCGCCAATGGCAGTCAGCAGGGTTTAAGAACATTTGTTGTTCGACCTGTTAGTCAAATGCGTTTTGTTAAAATATACTTTTTCCCCTTTTTTGGTCTTTTGGAATATGTTGTTTGTGCTGTATTTAGACCCCTCTACCAAGAA